GTACCGAAATCTGAGTCTGGTGAGACAATCACAGTAACACTGAATGTATTTTGCTGTTTTCTATTCTTCATAGCAAAGTATGCAGTTATAGCTTTTTGTAATACCTACCAGCCCACTTACAAATAGCTCTTAATATCTATCACTCTAATCTATCAATAAAGTGTATAAAAAAGAATCTTATGAGTAGACATTTACTTTGCATTTATCAACGATATTTATGTCCGAAAATTTAAACAAGTAAAATACTAAACTTTGCCGACATTTCAATACCAAAACATCTGACAGCTCGACACCATTATTACACCTTATGAGCTGGTTTAGTGTTTTCCATGCCGAAGTCTTTATCTAGAATTTTAGTTGACTAATCAAAGCTAGCGTAAAACTTAACCAGGAGCTAATAAGGAACCAGCGTACAATATCATTGATCTGGCTTAAACAAAGCTTCCTGAGCAGAGGATTGAATACTGATCTCTATATTTCATCAATCTTAATTTGGTGTCCCAAGTATGTGAACTTCAAAACAAGTGTCCCGTTCCCCCTCGCTATGCAAACGGATTGCCCTCCATGCATAGAGTCTGTATTTTTTGAGATAAAGGAATAAAATTTTATAGTGTTTTTTGAAACACTTACTTATTTGACCATAACAGCCCGTTACCGAATTTCGACCTGACGCAGCAAGGTCCCAGTTTTTACAAGGACCTTTGCCGCGTGCACGCCTTCTTCAGTCCCGTACATTAAATCCGGTTAGTGCTCTTTTAACTTGATAATTCTACCGGAGACGCGGTCTATCTCTATGCCTTCTTTCTCCAATTACTGCTTTAAACACCTCGCTGAAGCATATTCATCCATTCTCACAATATAACCAAGCCTACAAAGCCGCTGGATGTTAATTCACTTAATTATATCAATGTCGTCGTAATAAAGCTCGTACAAGTCGTGATTCATTCGTATGCGCTTCGTTGTTGTTTAGTCGCTGTAAAGCAACATTTTCGTCCTTACAGGTTGATGCTCCAGGCTTAAATCCTTAAGTCAGACACGCGTTTTTTGAGTGAGTTTTTTGGGGCACGCGTTATTAAAATAGTTACATATGTTAAAATTGTGTACAAATCAGATCTGATTGATACAAAGGTTCTATATAAAAGTAGTAACTATATTTCAGAATCTTAAGATATTTCATGAATAAAACATAAATAGCTGCAATTTTCTTTCGATAAAATTCCGAAAATAAAGAAAAATGTCACATTCAATAGCTATTGCTCCTTGGCATGACGGAAATATAACTTACCTTAGTGCGAATATACTTTAACAGATAAATAGAGAGTGGACCCAATACAAAGTACTAAAAATATTTTAATTATTGGAAATGCAATACCTTGTAACAAGGTTTTTTAGTGTAGTTCGCTAATAGTTTTTTGTTTTGCATTCCTTATTAGTTTTTTATTGACGCTTCACACTTTTGCTTTGTTTATTTTAAAGTACAGTAATCCCCCGGAAAACTCGTTATAGGGATTCCCGCATACCCCGTATACACACGTTCAAAGGTATGCGAATCTAATTAGAAACTGTAAAAATCCTTGCGTTATATAGGGGAATGCTCGTGTTGTACGGAGGATTGAAGTCGCGTAATATAAAAACAGTTTATAAGAGTACAGCGTTATAAGGGGAATTACTGTATATATTTGTGTTAGGTTAAGCACTAACTACATGCGTGGCTGATTAAGAGTTTACCTCGTAATTGATATAAATTCAATTTAATAGGGTAATACATATTAATTTAAATATTTTAAATTTAGTTTAAACAATTAGGATCAAATTCTTTATTAATTTTGGTAAAAGGAATATTTTAGTTTTTAATAAATATACGTTACCTGGGAATAGCCGATTGAACTGTACACTCTCTCCTTTGTATATTATTACTGCATGTATATTGAAACTCATACCGCAATATCATTCGGTCTATAGCTGTGAAGACAGTTTTTTTTTTTAATGCATTTTTTGGTAACAGTTTTAAGTCCATATGTTACTACAAATTATCTACAAATCATATAACCTTTAATATTTTGGCTAAAAAAATGTTTTTTAATTTTAAAAGCAAGTTATTGGGCAACTTTAAAAGTATTCCATCTGAAGTTACAAACGTGTGAATTTCAATATATCTCAGAAGAACATAATTTTTATTCAATGGAACACTTTGACTTAAGACTATGGTAGTTTATGCTAAATAAAACGCGGCCTTAAACAGTATAATCAGAAAAGTAATACGTATTCTAAAATTATGATAGTGAGAAACAATATTACTAAGTTTCAGGAACTTTGTTTAAAAAATTTTGAAAAAATCTAACAATTACATTATTCGTCTTATTAATTTATTAATATAATTAACGGACAAGGTTTTTACATTGGATCAAATTGAATAATTTCCAAAGTAATTTGCTCCGTTAAATCCAAAAGTAGTAATAAAAATTCTGAAAGTGATTATAGAGATACTAAGAAATTTCCATTGGATTTAAGAGGACAGGTCAGTTTTGAAGTTGTTGATCCATTTCTACTAAAGCTTAAACCTTTTCTGATTGCATTACTCACATCATCAGTAGTAGTAAATTTGCCTGTTGTTGTCGCAGTATATTAAGTTAAAAAGTTTTTAAATTTAATATTTATGTTGCAAAATTTAATCCAGGTAACATTTAAAAGTTGTGAATCATTCTATTTGTTGCTCAAATTACTTAAAAAATTAATAAAAAAAATTAACTAAGTTTAAAACTTAAGAAATTTTAAAAAGAAGCATTACTTCTTATGGATATTATTTTTCGTTTTATAATACCTTCATAGTTAAGAAATATTAATAAATTTACCTCTTTCTCTCTTTCTTTGTTTTACTAATAAAGGTCAATAGACTCTCAAAATCGCTTACATTTTCAATCCGTTATCGTTTATTTGAATATTTTTTGATTTATATAAATATTTGCTAATTAATGTAAATATTTGTTTTATGCTAATAAATTTAATAATAAATAATTTATACTTTATTTTGTTTTCAGTGTCTACAAGTTGCCACAAATGTAACAGAACAAAAACATCATGTAACGAGAGAAATAAGAGGAAAGAATTTAGGTTTATGTCGAGGGTTTCGAGGATGCACTGTTTGGTTAACCGGTAAGACATATATACTGCTATCTAATACTGCTACTTATATTAAATAATAGTGTATAAAGTAAGATTATTTTATTAAATAAAATTAAAATTAATATATCTCAAAATAGAAAAATTAGACAAAAAAATAATTTTTTCCTATTTTTCCGCTAACTGTTAGGACTGAGTGGTGCCGGCAAAACTTCAATTGCCTTTGAATTAGAGGCTTATCTAGTGTCACGTGGCATTCCTGCATACGGCCTTGATGGTGATAATATACGCACAGGTTTGAATAAAAATCTAGGTTTTACACCGGCAGATAGAGAGGAAAATATACGTCGTGTTGGTGAAGTAGCAAAATTATTTGCTGATAGTGGCGTTGTAGCGATTTGCAGTTTTGTTTCACCATTTGCGGATGACCGTGAATTAGTGCGGAAAATACATAAAGACTCGGATCTTAAATTTTATGAAGTCTATGTAGATACACCTTTGTCAGTGTGTGAGACGAGAGATGTTAAAGGCTTATATAAAAAAGCTAGGGAAGGTATTATTAAGGGATTTACTGGTATAACGCAAGAATATGAAGTTCCACAACATCCAGAAATAGTAGTAAGCACAGATGGGTTTACGATACAGGAATCTACACAAAAAGTGATACATCTACTAGAAGAAGAAGCGATAATACCTAAAACCTTGCGAGACATCAATCAAGTAGGTTTTTATTAGAATTTTTATATATATATTATTTTTCCTCTATAATTATTTTTAATTATTCTTATTATCTAAGCTTCCTGAACTCTTCATAGATTCAAGTCGCACAGAAGCAGCTTTGCACGAAATAAAATCTTTAAAAACAATTCCTATCACTAAAATAGAACTGCAATGGTTGCAAATTTTATCAGAAGGTTGGGCATATCCTTTAAAAGGATTTATGCGTGAACAAGAATACCTTCAAACTTTGCATTTTAATTCCATATTAACGGAAGATGGTGCCTTCCGTGAAAATCAATCGGTGCCTATTGTATTATCTGTATCAGCTGATGCTAAAGAGAAATTAGATGGTATTAAATTATAGCAAAATACAAATAAAAAAAGTGTCTATATTCATAATTTTTTTTACAGGTGTCTCTGCGCTAGCTCTTACTTACAATGATAAAGCTATAGCTATTCTACGCAAACCTGAATTTTATTATCATCGAAAAGAAGAACGATTATCTCGTCAATTTGGTACAAGCAATCCTAATCATCCATATGCTAAAATGGTCTTTGAATCAGGTGACTATTTAGTTGGCGGTGATTTAGAAGTTCTTGAAAGAGTTCGCTGGAATGATGGTTTAGATCAATATCGCTTAACTCCAAATGAGCTGAGACAGAAATTTGCTGATATGCAGGCTGACGCTATATTTGCATTTCAAGTAAGTACATAATATATTCAAAAATGCATATTTTATTTTATTATATCCAATATATATGAAAATTTGCATAATAACAACTTTTAGTTTTTTAAAAGCGTAAATATCCTTTTGCATAACAAAATTCCTAATAAGTCAAATTTGAAGTTTTTACTTTTATGAGACCATGGTTTATATTTCGTACAAGATGACCGTGTGGGTCTGTATTTGTATTGTTATTAGACAATAATTTTTACTAAATAGTACAGGATTTTTCCTTCTCGTGCAACAAGGACGATTAATTCTGCCTTAACTTGATCCCCTACAGGTTCTTCCTTCCACTGTAGTTTCAAACACATTTTTGCTGGACCATAGCTGGATAAGATAGTTGTCTAAAACTCGTAGAAATCTAACGATCTTGCAAAGAATTTTTCTCTTTAACATTGTCAGTGTTGCGTCATTATTCTGTGATGAAAGTCCATGCTTCTACGGAATGCAGAATCATAGGTATAACCAACGAACTGTAGAGCGTAAATTGTTGTGATCACAGTTAAGTTCTATATCGTAATTGCGTACTAAACACATTGTAACCATGATTCTTGTTGGTTACTGTTAAGCAAAGACAATAGTAACTTTATGTTCGCTACCACTCATGATGCGTAAGCAAGTAGTTGGATACAAGTGTGATATATCGTACAATTGCGATTGTAAAATTGACGAGATCAGATAGACTGCTACCTTGACGAAGTTACGCCATGCAGTTACAAAGAAAACTTCCAACTTAAAGCGAGATTAAAGATTAGATCGATGCTTGGCCATAATGTAATTAACAACAGATGCCTGCGTAACCTGCCGGAGAGCGCAATACCGCTTATCACTAACGTAATTAATTGCATGCTCAATCTAGGTGAATTTCCTAAGACCTGGTAGCTGGCTACAGTTATTGTCTTACCTAAACCGGATAATAACCCACAATTATCGCAGAACTGGCGCCCCATAAGCCTGCTATCAACGATAGGAAAGCTAGTCGAAAGGGTAATTCTTGGTAAATTAAATGCTGTAGTGGCTTCACGGAATATACTCCCTGACGAACAATTTGGCTTTAGAAATAACCTGTCTACAGAGCTTCCATTGGCTGGAACGACCCAAATGATTCAAACAGCCCTCAGTAGACGAGAGTCGACTGGAATGATCATTTTTGACATTTTTAAAGCTTTTGACAAGGTCTGACACGATGGCTCGATAGTAAAAATGTATATAAAAAAAATGTAATATATGTGTTCAGGCAGGCTAACTAAGATCATCGGCAGCTACCTACGTGGGAGGTCGTTTCGCACGAAAATCAACAGCGCTCTCTCGTCAGTCCGAACTATAGAAGCAGGAGTTCCTCAGGAATCGCCACTTTCCCCCAATCTCTACAACATTTATACATCTGATATCTCAATGTTAGGGCCCTCGACTCTGGCGTTGTATGCTGACGACGTATGCTATACTCGGATAAATGTGCTCTCAACATAACCAATACACTTCAAGAGCATATAAACCTCATCCTGGAGTATTTCCAGAAATGGAAAGTACTCCACGCGTAAGTGGAGACAGAACTCGTCAAGAGTGAGAATGGGAGATATGGTAATAAACTGGGAGGATAGCATTAAATATCTAGCCATCACGGTGGACAAATACATGGCTTAAGCATGTTCAATTAAAAAGTATTAGCTATGCCAAAATTCTTCATCACCTCCAACCACTATTCAAAAATGAAAGTCTCAATACTAACAGGAAGCTGTTATATAACCAAATAATTCGACCGTCACTTCTATATGGATGTGTAGTGTTTAGCAAAGCCTAAAACACTACTATTCGCCAGCTAGAAATTGCACAAAGCCAGGCTCTGAGAAGACTTTTCGAGGTACCTTGGCAAATTAGGACAAATGACATCCTCAGGGACCTTAAGATTTATCTGATCAAAAAATACTGACAAGCTTACAAACACTGCGTTGTCGAATATCGGAATGGTTACAGAATGGGGAGCTATGCAGGTCTGAGGTCAATTATAGCTTAGTCTGATGAAGTGATAAACAATAATCCAGTCAAGGCGTAGAGGGATATTGAAGAAACCTCGCAGTTAATAGAGAATAAAAATGCTCAAGTGCATTGACTCAACTAGCCTCAACATAATACATAATAATTATAAAACTGATATATATAAATAAATACTAAATAATAAGGGAAAATAAATTAAATTTTAATAAATAACATACAATACGAAATATAATTAATTATTAGCAATATAATATTCCGTCTTGTGACCATACACAATATTATAATAAATTGAATAAATATGTAAACAATGTACAAATTTAAAACATATTTAATATATAATATTAAACAAATCTGTCGTAACACTCTGAGTTGGAGAGGGAATTCAGCGTGTTTTTAGCGGTACGTATACTTGAAGAGGTATACTTACGAATACTCTCGTATACCTTTTTCGTATACTTGAATGACTTATTAATTGTAAATGCTTGCGTTTTTATACAAATACAAAAAAGAGAGAAAATTTAAAGTTTCCTTTGACGCAATCAGTCAGTGCACAACTTTAATCAAATGCAATACAAAGTACATCTAAAGTCTAACTTAAAGCATAAAACGAATATAATTTCACAGAAAATGTCTGTAATTTTATAACGTAGCTTTTTTAAAAAGTGGTCTTACTTTAATTGGGCTAAATCATTTCGTTATAATTGATTGTTCGTGAATTCTATATATATATATTAGGGTGCCATTAATTTTCGAAAGTCGGAAAATTGCCCGCGGCACCCCCCAGATCGGTTCATTTTACTAAAAAAATAATCTGTGTGAAATTTTAGTTCAATTGGATAAGTGGAAATGGTGCCCCAAGAGCCTCAAAGATTGAAAAATATCGATTTTTTCCATAAAATTCATCTTTGATTGCTTATATCTCCGACATATTTAATTTTACAAAAAAGTTATAGATCTATTTAAAATAAACAATTCACTCATACAAAGTTTTTCTGTATTTCTAATAGTTATTGAATAAAACAAAAAATAAGTTGAAGTCACCCGATTGCTAGCTTTGAAAGTACTATGAATGTAATTGTCCGCTTCAGCTTTACAAAAAATTTGATATTTCTAAAAAATTTAAAATAAATTCAATATTTCCAAAATTTAATCTTTCTAATAATAAAAAAGTACTAATTCTAGGTTTGTCCGACATAATTTTTATTATTTTAGTTAAAGTTGCTGAAGCAAAGTATCCTTATTACCTTCAGTTATTTTTGCGCGATCTATTGATACTCTCCTGACTTTCTTGTCATCACTTTCTATATTCAAATTTGAAACCATATTTTTCTTTGTCTCAGGTGATATATTTAAATCCAAAAAAGCAAAATAAACAAGCTTTGAGCTTAAATACCAAATACAATTTTTTGATATTGACTGATAATAGAAAGAAGATTAAAATCTTGAAAATGAGCTTTGACTGATGACAAAGCATTAAACCATACTTCATTCAACATACACTTTAGTAATAAATATACGTATATCTCAAAGAGCATTTTCTTCTTCTGTAGATAATTTGAACTCTTTCCTAAATAAAAATATTTTTAATACATGCATGACTTTCACCATCCATCTTGCATGATGTATAGCTCCAGGAGGTCGAAACTTTATGGTACACTTCGGCTTTTCTCCTAAAAACATTAATGCAAGTTCCAGAAGTTCCTTATAATCATCTCTTGGTTGGTTATCCTTACGAATCTTATAAAGGAAACTTGTAATTCGTAACACATCATCCATATTTAACGATTTTCTTACTTTTTCATTTTCTAAGCCGACTGTAAAGTTATCAACGTTTATTTTCGGCCAAAACTTCTGAAATCGTTGAATTAGTTCAACATTTGGGCTTTCAGACTTGTATACTTTTTAATGTAATCACTTTGAATTAAAATTCACTTCGCATTCCAATGAATAATACAGAAACTCACTTATGTATATAACTATACAAGTATTGGACTTATTTTCTAGCAAATTTAGTAGACAATTCATTCATTAAACTTACCTAAATTTAATAGGGGGATTTCAGCTTGTATTTGCTTTTATTCAATAACTATTAGAAATACAGAAAAACTTTGTATGAGTCAATTGTTTATTTTTAATAGATCTATAACTTTTAGGAAGACAGTTTTTATGTAAAATTAAATATGTCCAAGATATAAGCAATCAAAGATGAATTTTATGGAAAAAATCGTTATTTTTCAATCTTTGAGGCTCTTGGGGCACCATTTCCACTTATCCAATTGAACTAAAATTTTACACAGATTATTTTTTTAGTAAAATGAACCGATCTAGGGGGTGCCGTCAACCGATTTTACGAAACAAAAATTGCCCATATACCTTAATGGCACCCTAATATATATATATATATATATTATTGATAAGCAAAATCAAAGATTATTATCATCCTCTTGTTTCTCTCAACTAGATATTAAGGACCTTATTTTACTTTTGTATTAACTTCGCATTTATTTTAATTATATTATTATATTTTTCAGCTAAGAAATCCTATACATAATGGACACGCATTGCTCATGCAAGACACGAAACGTCAACTTCTAGAGCGCGGTTTTAAGAAACCTCTTCTACTTTTACATCCGTTAGGTGGTTGGACAAAAGATGATGATGTACCACTAGATGTACGTATGGCTCAGCACCAAGCTGTACTGGACTCAGGTGTATTAAAACGTGAAGATACAATATTAGCTATATTCCCATCACCGATGATGTATGCTGGACCAACAGAGGTACAATGGCATGCGAAAGCAAGTGAGTACAGTAAACATTACTTTACAGTTACTGGTAAAAACATTCAAATTTAAATTAAGGAATGAATGCGGGTGCTAACTTTTATATTGTTGGACGAGATCCAGCTGGAATGCCTCATCCTGATAAAGAAATGTATCCCGATGGTAATTTGTATGACGGAACGCATGGTGCGCGTGTACTTAAAATGGCACAAGGTCTTGACAGCATGGAAGTATGTAGAGTTATTAATAAGAGGTTTTTAATTATACAAAATGTGTTTTTTAGATTCTACCATTTCGTGTTGCTGCTTATGACAAAACTAATTTGTGCATGGCATTTTTTGAGCCACAACGTAAAGATGAATTTGAATTTATATCGGGAACTAAAATGCGCACATTTGCTAAAACTGGTACTTATCCACCAGATGGTTTTATGGAACCAAAAGCATGGAAGATTTTATCCGAATATTATCAATCCTTAATTAAACAATGAATTTTCCTAAATTGTTTTTATACTAAGAAATGCGTGCAATATTTTCTATACAATTCCTTATCTAAGTTACTTTATTTGTATGCATGTTAAAATATTTTAGTACTTTTTATTTTCAAATTTATTTTACAATTTGTTGTATTATAAACGTTTTAAATTTGTTAAATCTTAAATAATGAATCGTATATTTATGTCTTAAAAAAATTATAATAAAAACAAATAAAAAAATTTTATTCATATTTGCACAGAAAATTCATTGCTTTTATTGTTTTGCAAAATAATAATAGGAAGTTCGCTATTTATAAAAGAAAATGATTTAATTTTTTGATTTTATAGTAGAATATATTTTTCCTTTATAAGGTGTGGTCGCATTATTTTATTAATGGTCTCTTTTATTTTTTTTTATATTTAATGAATGGAAAATATAAATTATATGTATATAATTCATATGTCGAGAGACATTAATAATATTTCTGCAATGCAGGAATTAATCTGCTGTCAAATTTGTTTTAATAATAATTTTAGTTGGACTTTCAAGTAAGCTTTCAAATGAAGCACATTTCTCTTTATTGTTTTAGACGGAAACAAAATTCAATTATTATTATTGTATTGGTTTTACGGTTTTACTCCAATGAATAATTTATAATAATAAAAATTATTATTATTAAGAATAAAAAAAATCATTATTATTAAAAATAATAAAAATTATTATTAATAATAATAATAAAAATTATTATGAATAATAATAATAAAATTTATTATCAATAATAATAATAAAAATTATTATGAATAATAATAATAAAAATTATTATGAATAATAATAATAAAAATTATTATGAATAATAATAATAAAAATGATTATTAATAATAATAATAAAAATTATTATGAATAATAACAATAAAAATCAAAATTAATAATAATAATAAAAGTTATTATGAATAATAATAATAAAAATTATTATCAATAATAATAATAAAAATTATTATGAATAATAATAATAAAAATGATTATGAATAATAATAATAAAAATGATTATTAATAATAATAATAAAAATTCTTATTAATAATAATAATAAAAATTCTTATTAATAATAATAATAAAAATTATTATTATTATTAATAGTAAAAATTATTAGAATTAATTAATTAGTAATAATAATAATAAAAATTATTATTAATACAAATTATTGTTAATAAAAATAATAAAAATTATTCCTAATAATAATAATAAAAATTAATATTAATAATAATAAACAATTAATAATAAATAAAGAGTACATACATAATTAAATAAAAATAAAATATAATAGTAATATCTTTTATCTAATATTTTATATCAGGGCTTTGAAGTGGATAGAATTTGTTTCGGATTTTATGCCGGTTGAATTAAAAAAAAATGTGTTCGGTTCAATTCTGAATAAATGTCTTTTTGTTATTTTTATTATGAATTAACTTTTTGTCATGATTAAAATTATTTTATTCATACTTTGAAAGAAGCATATTCATATTCAATTTTTTCAATAAGAAAAACAAATTTCTATATTTATAAATTAAAACAGTTTTTTTGAACTTGTGTATTAAAAGTTTTACAAATGAACAGGAAAGCATGTGAACTAGCAGATATTGAACTAATCGGGGCTAATATAAAAACCGATATATTTTTTTAGTTTTCGGTTTAGTTTTCTGTGCTGAACAATTAAATTGAAAATACTATATTTTCAATATTTTGTCATAAAAAATAATAAATTATTTAACCGTTTTGAGCTAACTTTCTATTAATAATGTTGTCGTTCAAATACAGACTTCTGTGAACTTGTTAATAAATTTAATTTATATATTTGTATTTATTTATATAGTTCTTTCCCATTTAAAATTACCAAAGTTTCGATTTTACTTCACTTCCTCATCACGGCGACGAGATATATTGGTTTAAGCTATATATATATAAATATATATATATATATATGTATATGAATGTATGAGTTATATATATATATATATATAATAAAAAGTTCACATAAGCCTTTATATAAACGAACACGATATTAAATTTTTTTCATTCTCTAAATAAAATAGTTTTTAATATGGAGTCTATATATAGTTCGAAAACTGAATTTCAATCTAAAAATATAGTTTTCAAAGAAGTGAAACTTAAAATTAATTGATTACTTCTGTTAAAAAAAAAGATAACACTAAATGAATTTACTTTCCTTTAATATCTATCACATTAATATAAGACATGTTTAGATACCATTATACCTGTACGTGTAATTAGTAAAAAAAAAAGAGATTTTTATATTCCATACGTATAATTGTACATTTTTTAGCGATATATTTGCATAGTTTATTTATGTATAAAGATGTAAAAAGTTATTTTGCTTTATATGCACCAAGTCATATGTATTTGTGTTATAAATCGAATATTATTGTATATATATATATATGTATATCTATATAAATAGCTTAAACCAATATTTATTCAATTACACCATCTTGTTTAAACCATCATCACTGCCATTAAAACACAAACATTTTTTTTATATATAAAAATGTATAATACGTTAAATTATTACAAGTACAATATTACTATTATTATTTAATATCAAATTACTAGTTTTACATATTTATATTTATTAATTTAAGTATATAGGTATTTATTAAAAAAAATCTTATTCGTGTTTTTTTTTCGTGGACATTGTAATATTTTAATGAACTTCTGTATAGTCGCGATTATATGATGTTATAGTTGCATTAGTTTATTCAGTTATATCATTGATTTATTTTAAAATATAAATTTTAGTATCAAATTTCAAATTAAGCATATTAGGTAAACTTATACACAACCAATAACGTTGGCTAAAAATGCTTAATTAAATATTTGAAAATACTCGAGAAATGTTATATATTGCAAAAAACTATTTCAATATATATGTATATATCATTTTTTTGATTGTGCGTAAAGTTTACAAATAATATATTAAAGTATTATAAATTTATTTAATCTCAATGTTTTCAGTAGCGTAAGTCCGCTAAATCTTGTCATTCATTTGTAATGGATTTAAAAAACCGTAAAAATATATATAAAATATATATTTAAAATAAAATAAATAGATTAAATTTAATGGCAAAAATGAGGGAGTTTTATATAAATTTCTTTTCCTTTAATATACAATTAAAAAATACAATAAATAATCACATTTTTAGTAAACAGAGATACATTTCTTGATTTTTTCTGTTTAAAAATGAACAAACGTTTTCTAGTCTTGATTCATTTCAGCATATTGAACATGTTTACCATTTGAAATGGCTTGCAATAAATTTCGTAATATTTAAATATTATTTTCGTTAAAATATGTACGGACATCGGGATAATTGGATCACTAAATATTAATCGCGCATTCTTTAGTTAAACATTTACTTTATGATTATTACATATATATTATAGTTTAAAATATTACATATTTGTTAAGTCTTGTTTTGTTTAACAAGAGGATAAAAAACTACAATTGTTATTACCTCGTCAAAGCAGACTGCACTTTGACAACCAACTGTCTGTTTTTCTTGGTTCGGAAAATTTGAGTTGATGGCCTCCTTTTGGTGGATTATTCGCTTCCTAAAAATATATCGAAACAAAATTAGTCATTTTATATAAACAGATTAAATAAATATTAATTGTATATTACCATTCGTTTTTCCATTTTTGCTTTAATATCACTTGCTAATGTTAGGAAAGCTTCTTCAACATTAATACTAGCTTTAGCGGACGTTTCCATAAATTTTATACCATATTCAATAGCCAATTGTTCACCTCGCTCTCTAGACACCTGCAATTAAAATGTAACAATATAATGAAAAATTAATTTATACGAATTTAAACTTATATAGTCTGCATATCGATAAAAAGATCGATAAAAAAGTAAAAATGAATGATATTAATTGAAAAATGAAACCTAAACAAATACTTTAGGCTGAAACGCAAATTGGCAATGCCGCCTATTCATGGGGCAACCGGCATGGCAAACACAAATTCAGAAAAGGCTGAGCCGAAGATTGTGATTATGACTCTGAAGAGTAAGAACATATCACCGAGGAAGCATACAATATCCTGGACCAAGAGCCTGATGAAGACATCGCGCCTTGCTCCTGTGATGAAATCGCCCTAATTATCCCAATATTGAAGATAAGATCTGCATCAGGGTACGACAAAATTAACAACAAATGCTTTTGTAATCTACCGGAAGATGCGATCCATCTCATCGTAAATATAATTAATTGTATGTTTAGGCTAGGTGAATATCCTAAGATCTGGAAACAGGCTATAACCCGGCAAGGACCCGAAGTTCCCGCAGAACTGGAGCCCCATTAGCTTACTGTCAGCTTTGGTTTAGTTGGCTAAAAGAGTGATCCAAGACAGACTTAAAACTTCGGTGGACTCGCTGAATATTTTTGTTTTGGAGATGGCCTCTCCACAGAATTGCAACTGGTGCGAACGGCTCAGATGATACAGTCAGCCCTAAGCAGAACTGAATCAACGGTTATGAGTATGATTACTTCTGACATCGGTAATTAGTTAAAATGTCTCGTTTTGAAATCTTAGGCAGCTTCCTACGCGAGAGGTTGTTCCGTGTAAGAAGAAGCCGGTGTTCTTCAAGGATCCCCGCTCTCCCCCTTGCTGTACAACATCTTCACGTCTGACATCCCAATGCTAAGCTCCTCGGTGCTATCATTACACGCAAATGACACGTGCTTGTTATATTTCGATAAACTTGCCAGAAATGTAGCCAACACGCTGCAGGAGCATGTTAATCTCATCTTGGAGTTCTTCCAGAAATGGAAAATAAAAATTAACAATGAAAAAACTAAAGCCCTGTGTATTACTCGTAAACACAGGCAGCATCCACTAAGAGTAAGAGTTGGTGACATCGCGATTAATTGCACTGCAATGCTTACAACCACTTTTCAAACACAACAATTTTAGCGCAAAGAGCTGAAAATTGATCTACAGCCACATAATTAGACTACTACTTTATGGGTGTATTGTGTATAGCAAAGCTGCCGACTCTACTATCCAGAAAGTTCAAGTTGCTCAAAGTCAGGCTCTCCAAAGACTCTTCAAAATGCTATGGTACATCCGCACGAATGATATGCTAAGAGACCTTAGAATAGATCCTGTCAAAAAATACATAAGAGAAGGACCCCTGATGCTATATGCGAAAACCAACAAGCTGCCGTACTTAAGACTATCTAATCTTAAGTACACAGATCTTAGATCAGTCATTAAATAATCATGAAGCTTATGAGGAAAAAGACACATTCACAAATGATGTATTTAAATATCTCCTAGACATGTAAGAGATCTTGTAAGCCTCTAACGAACACAGACCGACATAAGAAAACACCATTAGTAAATCAAATTCCTACCCGTTGTTCACCGAACTGGATCGAATGGCTAACTTGTAACAATCAACTTAGAGCTGGTGTCTGAGTTGGAGCAACAGGTTTATAAACGTAAAAACACATCTTTTGTTAGAGTAACAATATGACGATCGGACATCTGTTAAAGAGTTTAACGTATGGCCAATAACTTTGCTTTAGTGTGTGTGCTTTAATTGCAGCTCTACCTGACACGACGTCAATCATCTATTTTCTTGCCTAATTAAACCCTATTCTCAAAGAAACCTCGAAGTGGTAAGATTTCTTCCCTGGACTCAAGCTACTCAATATTTCCATCTATTTTTTTTTCATTTTTCTGACCCCATTTTATTTTCCATTTCCCAATCATTTGTATATGATTTGTCATCTATTATTTTTTGGTTTTTTATATTCACAAAAGTCACAACAATAGGATAAGCTTTTAATATATAGTAAGTACTGCTACATTGAGAAAACTAAGACTCGTTGGGCACGATGAAACAAATAACGTAAAAAATGCACGTAAAAATTGAACCAATAAGTATGTTCTCGACATGAACTAAAATCACATAAGAGCACATATATTGCAGCAATAAATTTCAAACGTGATGAACAGCCAGTAAAAAATATTAAAAGTGAAGAATCGACCATTCCAGTGGCTGGCAACTGTTAGCTACTATCTCAACGTGTGCACGGCTGCAATTTCCAATTTGTTCACCCGACAGACTGCGGCTGTAACTTTGGTCGACAAACAGCAGCCTGCATCCTCCATGACATCTGTCAGGTTTCAATTTTCAGTTTCAAGGTGTACATCGAAATTTAGAAATTTAGACTTACTACGTTTTGGACCAGCTTGTCGATATAGAATATGCCTGGTCCACACAATTCAAACTAAGTCAATCGCCATATCTATGTTTGAGATCAATAAAGAAGATGAAGGGCTAACATTGTCATTTGCAAACATCTCCAAAAAAACAGCCTTGGGAAAATGCTATGAATTAACGGTCGGTGTTAAAGAAACCGCCAGACTTAGCAAACTGATAGCTAAACAGCATTCCCGTTTCTCTTTCTTGGAATGAAAGGACAGGGACATAGAGTATCTCTCTAAGGAAGCCTCTTGATACTTATTTCTCCAAAAACACGAAGGCAAATTTATCGCTGCTTCCCAGAAGATACTAACCTGCTCAACTAGTCGACCTAAAGACCCAGAGACGTCATGGGTTGATTTAACCACTCAAGAGTTTAGCGCCTGATGGTGTTTTTCCAAAAATGCTTCAGAGTTGTGAACATTGTAACTTTAAATTTCGTTCGTTACCCCGTCACCTTTGTGCACCTTTACTTTCATTCTTTGCCATGAATTCTATATACTTTTGGCAGAATCAGAATTAGATGCGTAGGTTTCTAATTCTGTAAAAGGATGACTAGAAGAAAATGGAACTTTCATTCTACAATAGTTCTATGGATATATACTGCGGTTACTTTGCTATTGCTTGATAGTCTGGAAGCAGTTAAAAATAGCTGCTCAATGTGGGCGCTTAAACTACAAAAATCTTTTCAATCAATCTTGTCATTGAGATAAATCGGAAAAGGAACTTAACGCAGCCAATTGAGATTACAATATTTTCATGAACAGTTCTTACATGGAATGCGGAATGGGAGTAGAAATCTTTTTAACTCACAAAGATAAAAGAAAATTCTTTCACCAGTACTTTTAATAAATTAGACGGGTTGGTCTTTAAACTAAGTTTTTCATAATCGAGTAATAAAACGGCGCTTATGCGTTTCTTAGAGAAAAGAAGAAAAGCTGCCGCCGCTAAAACCAACCAACCAACCTCGAATGACATAACAGGGCGCTCCAAAACAGTATGTGTTCTTGCAGTTTACAGAAATTTAAGAAGAATTTAAGAGCAGAAACGGTCAATAGTGCATTGGAGAGAACTATTTTGAACATTCAAAACCCCTTTACCTTCTTACGCTTATAATTGCGTTAAAATTACTGCGAACATGGTCGTTAGTCAACAGTAAAAATCATTAGGAACAAAAATTGAATACAAAAAAATATTAATACAAATAATATTACTTTCATAAAGTAATATAATTAAATTTAAAAAGATTTTGAACAAAAATAATATTGACACAAATTCCACAAAAACAGAGAAAAGTGAATTTTACATACCGCAATTTACGTCAAGTGCAGTTTACCAATTCAAACAAATGTTATTCATTTTCTGTTTAACTCTCGCTAATATTTTTAACCTCTTAATGTTTACACTCAGAAAACAATATATGCAGGTGATTGCACAATTTTTTCAATAGGTCGGAACCCTAGGTGTCATACTTGACAGTAATTATATTTGACTAAATAAACTCCTGAACACATACAAGCCAATAGGGCAACCTATAGACCCGACAGTTCAGCATGACGCAGTGGAATAATCTTCGAGTACCTCCAAACTTCACATTTTATCTGCTATTATAGCATATAATAGTTAAACCATCTTCATGTAAAATCTAAAATGCTAGTTATCTAACAGCAAGGTTCTCAACGAGCCCCATCTGATGAAAGACCTTCCCCTTGTGCGGCAAAAACTGGTCTTGCCAAATTGAGGTCAGGATATCATTGTGTGCCTTAACTGAAGCTCTAGAGAGTAAGCAATAGTAAGTAAGCAACAATAAAATAAAATGGACTGCAGCAGAATGGTGAAATAGAAATATGACCAAATATACTAGTATACTAATATCACGAAAAATTAAAGGTATACAACTACAAAGCAGGTATTAAAAAAATGTTATTGGATTACATTATTCGTGTGTCCAAATCTCCATTTAACTACTAACTGAAGCTTCGTGACTATCATGGTTCCATATCCATTTTCATGGTTATGGATCCATGCCAATGTATGGATGTATTGGTATGCCAATAAAAAAAACAGTGTATACTTAGCTCTACAGATTATAATCTATGTAAAAGAAAAGTAATAATTTTAACAAGAGGATAACTAAAGACATTTATGAATTGATTCAGTTTTATGTAGTAATAGTAAGGTATAACAGATAAATCTATTAACTGACAAAAACAGTTGTTAAGTGATCTGTCGAATAAACACGTTAAGAATGCCTCAACAGAAAAAATTAGATATAAAAATACCATAGAAAAGTAGTATTTAAATAAACCAACATACATCATATGATGAAATGTATTATAATCTTATTTAAATATAAAAATATAATAAAAAGAAGTTAAGCAGACTTTTTGAGTTCGAATTATTAATCCAAATATTACGAACGAATGACCAATCTTATTTTGCCCATAGAAAATAAACATAGTAATATAACATCAAGTACAACTTACATTGGTCAATACCAAAATAATATAGAACTATGAACAAATAAAGAAGATAACTAAAGACAATACTTCTTAGAATAAGTCAGGTAATAAAGCACATTCACATAAATTAAATAGTGTAACTTTCTCAAGACTTTTTCTCTGCATAACAGAATTTATTGGCACAGAGTTTACTTTTAATACGATACGAATTTAAACAGAATTCATCACTTCGTAAAAAACATTGAAAATACTTGCAGATACATCTATAGGCAGAGTGTCTAATTAAAACGAATATCTTATCTAATCCAAGCTTCATTTTTAATCCACAACGCTATGGTTTTAATACCCATTAATCTATACATTTTTAGCTATAAAGTTTGATAACTTTTGGAAACCGGTATAGACATCCTATAAAACTCTCTCATTTTGTTGTACTATACAAAAGTTTGATATTCTCTCTTGTGGACCCTCCACGTATTGGCTTTCCCATTGTCAGAAAATTTTTGATCTGTTTATTTATGGTACTGCAAAGGGTATAACGTTTACTGATATAACCGTTTAATATTCTTTTGGATCATATTCTATAGTTATATTAATAGTTATATTAATATATATAGTTATAATATAGTTATAATATATATAGTTATAATATAGTTATAATATAGTTATATTAATACTTCTTACTCAATTTTAATCTACTTGAAAGTAATAGAAGAATATTTTATAAACCAGAATCCGAACGGACACATTGTTAAGCTACAAATATCGGGTACACCTGGTTTTAATCCAAGTAACAAGAACGACATAATCGTTTTTTTTATATCATCTTCTTAATGTGATATCACTTAAAAATCAAATTATAACACCAGTGGCTCGTTTATGTAAATCGTTCGAGTTTAACTCGAACCATAAGATTCTACTGTTGTGACTATCTTACATTTTTCAAGTACTGAAAATCCTGGTATTCTCCGAATCAGGAAAATCCTAATCCTAATAATAGTAAGCCTCTAGCATTATCAATTGATGTTGTGCTTGCGCTAAACATATACAAAGCACAAATCAGACAATATTTTAAAATGGTTTTCTAAATGGATATGAACTCAATAAACTTATCACAAGACTGATATCTTCTCGTGGCATCTCCATTACAAATTTTTTTTCAATATATCGGTGCCAACTTCCGCACAGATGTTTTCCCATCTTTTATTAAATTTCTGATTGACACCTCATCTGACCAGTTCATTTGCTTTGTAATTGCCAACTATATCCCTGTGTTCGGGAATCCAATGAAAAAAAATGTTAAACTATGTCGACATCACGTTTAGTGATGCGTTAATGTCAAAAACATTTCTAGATATAAGTTGGACTGAACTCATAAACTTTAAAGCAATTTGACTGTCTGATAGTACATGTGTATTTCTATTAAATCACTACCGCGAAACACTTCCGTGTTTAGGAACCCCAAAAGCAGTACATTTTCTCCACTGTTTATATCTCGTGTCTAAATGGAAAGCGGACATTGAATTTTCTTTCTAAATTGAAAATGACAGAAATATAGTTAAACTTTTTTTAAAATAGAACTGAAAATATTGAGAATAAAACTGTGGCTTTCATCCTAAGTGCAAATATGGTGCAATTTATAAACTATAAGATTATGCGGCTATAAATGAAGCATCAAATCCATTGCCATCGATAGAGTTGTGCTTAGTGTCCCACTTATATAATGATTATATATAGATTTTATGACGACTGTATAAAGCAATTGGATTCTATGTGGCTCTTCTCCTACTCATAACTTTTTCACATAAAAACTAAGCTGTATTAATAAATAAATAATCTGAGTAGCTTGGTTTACATGTAAATGACGCAGTGGTAATTTGTTTTCTTATTGGTACAAGTTTAGCGTCTCAAAAACATCATATTAGGACAGTAAAAACATTAAAATAATTTCAGAAAATTCATAAAAATCAATTTATAAAAGTAAATGCGGTGCTAGGGACCAAATGTGTAACACATAGTTTCTTATGCCCTATTTTTCATCTTCAAATAATTTCGTGGTGCAAGATTAGATACCCTAACCCAAAAAATCATAGACAGTAGCCCTGTCCCCAAACTGCGGATCTATCTTTACTAATAACTACAGGGTTGCTGATGAAAATTGCAACAAACTTTGCACCGATCAAGCTGTTAAGCCAATAATGACAGAAAGTTCAAAATTAATTCATTTGGCAGTTCATTGTCTTGTTTACAAGCGTACGAAGGGATTTTGATCTTTGTATTGTAGAAAAGAAGTTGCATGTGATAGAGTTCAAACGTGATAGTGTGGTCGCTTTATATTTAGCTGGAAAAACATAAGCAGCTATCGTTCGACTCCACCAACACCTAAATGTGAACCGATACCGTGATACTGGTAGCGTTGGCTGACGACCAGGAAGTGGAAATGATCGAAACCTTCGCCGTAGCTACAATCAAATGGCAAAGGAGCTGAACGTATCGCAAGAAAGGATGCAACACATTTTAAAAATGATCTCGAACTAAAGCCATTGAAGTCGAACAAAGTGCATGATCTCATCGATGAACAAAAAGGATGATCATCGATGGCCGAAGGATGTTGGTTGCCGAATTTGGTTTTTTCTGATGAGTCACCATTCGTAATTGAGCAATACGTAAATAAGCAAAATAATTGAGTTTATTTTTAAGAGAGGTCAGCTAAAATTTAAACGTACAAATGACCACCAGAAAGAAGGCGCTACCGATGGTGATGGGACGCTCTCCGCTCGTGTTAATCGAAGCGGGGTATAAACGCCCAAATGTATCGAGAAATTATTTAACAGGAAGCACTTAAGCTCTGGGCAGATAAGCATTTAGGTGACAAGCTTTGGACATTTTAACAGGACTCAGCACCTTCGCACAAAGCACGCGTCACCAAAGAATAGCTAAAAAAACAACGTTCCGTGCTTTATTTCATCAACACAGTGGGTACCGTGTTCACCTGATATAAACCCTTTAAATTTGTCGGTCTGGTTGGCACTAAAAAATACAAAAATGTCGATCGTCTGAAGCAAGTGCAAGCCAAGAATGAGCCAAAATACCGCAAAGCCACAAATAGTGTTTTACATTGCTGCAATTTTCATTAGTAACCTGTAATTTTCGAAAAACTATTATCAATATTTAGACAACTAAAAAAGTGAACTGATTTTCCAATGAAGACATTTAGATAAATTGGACGATGCAGAAATAAATAGAAATTCTATATAAAAGCCGAAAGTCATAATAGAAATGACTAATAGGATGGGCACTTTTTGTAAAATTTTGAAACCTCAGATTGATTTATTAATTTGTACTATCTTAAATCCAAAACGTCCTTATGAGCAACTTTATCTATGGAAAGTGGCTTCTCCAATCGTAATGCAACAATTGATGTGGTATTGCATTGTCAAATATTATTCAATAGCTTCTTGTCTGCACTATTATTAATTGGATACTACCAGTTGTGAACAGTCAACTTAGAAGAAAGCAAAACGGCTTTCGATTTGGTTGACAACATGTTTGACTCTCTCGTAATATAACAGAACGTACTTAAATTCGAATTTTTAACAATAGCAACAATTTTGTGCCCAAAAACAGGGCGGTGTGCACTTAAATGACAAGCAGTGTGCAAGCGGTTATGAACATTACCGCCAATATAGATGTATACATGCTAACGAACACTTTTCCTAAAAATCTAAGAAAATGGAAAATAATGTAAATAACCCAATGAATGGAAACCGCAAGGCTCACGAAGTAAAAATACCCATACATGAACTAGTCGAAAAGTAAGCTCTTGACACAAAATTGATAAAATTGAAAATAATTTGTTATTGCCCTATGCTTCATCAGGACTTATCTTTAAAATTTACTTATATTATGTATTAAGCATGTTTACATATTACTATTTAGCGAATTTGGTATCTATTTTACAGATATTAATTTTAATTCTATTTTTATGAAAAACACAACTAATTTCATCATTTAATGTTGATAAGTGATTGCGTGAAGAAAAGCATCGATAAAATTAGAGCATTTTATGCCCTTGAGAAACTCAACAATACATTTCAGAATATATAACAAAGGAGTTTGATTTTATAAAGATGTTCAAGTATTCATCGATAGAGTCTGTCTATTTTGTTGATCTCCTGTGTATTTAATACAAAATACTTAGCAACTGCTTTTTGTACCCAACTTAACATTATTTTACGAATATTTTATTAGATTATATTGGTAAATATCTTATAAGTAAAATAAATAAATTATAACAATATTTACCTGTCGTTTTTCATTTAATTCACATTTATTTCCTAACAGCATTTTTTCAACATCGGCAGAGGCATTTTCCTCAATATTTCTTATCCAATTTTTTATGTTTTCGAAGGACTTCTCCTGCGTTATATCGTACACGAGCATTATACCCATTGCACCTCTGTAGTATGCGGTCGTTATAGTTCGAAATCTTTCTTGACCAGCCGTATCCCTTCAAAAATTTTATGAACATTTTATCAACATATTTTTATAAAAATACTTTACTCACCATATTTGTAATTTAATTTTTTTACCATCTAATTCAATAGTCCGTATTTTAAAGTCAATACCTTAATATAAATAGAAATTGTGTTTATTAAAAAAATTGATTATGGTTCAAAAAGTCAATGAATAAGATATTATTAAATGCTGTTTCTGCTTCCATAATAAATATTTTAAATTTTAGTTATCTAACGCTTAGAAAGATTATACAAAAAATATTTGTATTATAAGAAAATTTTTACGCTAAGCGCATTGAAAGTGAAAAATATTCTTCTACATTAGTAAAAATTGTTACTAAGAGTATTTACATATTTTAAATAGAAAACGGAACTTCTCCTTTTACTGATTAAAATAATGTTGACCCCTTTCTTTAAGCTGCGCCCAAATTTACTGATAAACTGATAAACATACATACTACATATTTGTTGAGAATTCCTATAAAACAAAACAAAATATTTAGTTATGACTCACACATTTTAATTAAATAATTGAACTTGACGTTCTGTTCTATATGTTGTGAATTAATTATACTTTTTTAAAGCGAAGAACAAACTAAACAACACATCATCAGGTGTGTGTGGTAATAATAATCACTTTTTGAAGTTGGAAAGAGTAAGTGGACCCTTTAATCGATAATGTTGAGGAGTTGGTCGCATTTATATAATTGTATAGTTTAGTCTTTAATTATTTAATTTAAATTGACTTACCAATTGTAGATATAAAAGTTGTATTATAGGCATCCTCTGAAAATCTAAACAAGATACATGTTTTTCCAACGCCAGAATCACCAATTAAGAGCAATTTAAATAAATAATCATATGTTTTGGCCATTGTCTGCCAAAGTTATTTGTTATTTTTTGTAATTAATTTCCTTTGATTTCACCACTCTTTATACAAAATTTTGTTTCTAATAAAATTGTATTCAATTTAGTTTGCGTTTCCAATCCCAGTAATAGGACACAAGAAAAATGGCGACAACTAACAGGACTTGAATTAATTTCAGATATCTTTAAATTGTATTATACATTTGCACTAAAAATTCTTAATAAAATTGTTTTAAACTATTTAAATTTTAAATTATGTTTATATAAAAAATATTTGATCGCACTTATGCGTTTTTGATGACAAAACCCGAATCGTCTACAAATTTCCGATGAATTTCTTCGTAATGATAAAATAAATATGATTTCAACAACTCTGAACTATGAAATGAATATTTTCACATGGTTGTATTTGGTTATGAAAAATTTAAAGTTATTGTAGTTAGTAATATATACAATTCAAATATTCGTATAAGCATATAATTAGAATATTATAAGAAGTATAAAATTATATTACATATAATTTCGTATATAAAAATTGATGGGTTTTTTACATACGAATTTATTTGAATTTTGTTTTTTTTCTAATGTAATGGGAATGCATTAAACTTTGTGAAATAATAGTGAGTACTTATATTAGGTCTGTTCCATGAGTTAGTCGTAGTAAAACTCAAATAAAACACAAGTAAAGTACAAACTAAGAGTATAATACAAATAAAGTTCCAAATTACGCTCTTTACATAGATTTTCATGGAATAGGTTTATGTAAAATTTGGTGAGAACATCAGTGTCGCGCAAATAAACAATACAAAAATTTTAATTCAAACCAAAACAGCTGATTCACACATCACACAAATTTTACTTGAAATAAAATATATAAGTAAAGTCTGTGTAGCATTTTCAAATTTCGACAAGGATATTACGCTCTCTCAAGTGCTTCCATTTACTCGATAATTTACTTGCGGAATGCACTAGTGAATATACAGAGTTACTTAAAATTACTACGAGTAGCTTGTGGTACAGGCCTAATATACAAACTAAAGAAAGTTGACTTAATGAAATCAATTGAATTGTTAATTTTTCTTAACTTATTTTATATTTATTATTTTAATTTGTTAAAACAAACAAAACATATAATTTTGTTTGTTTTAAATTATAAATAGTAAATTATATAACTAGTTTAATTAGAGTAGATAAAAATCAATTAAATCACTGTCTTGTTAAAACAGACAAAAAGGAATACGTCAGACAAAAACCAACTAGATCTCAACCATGTCTAGATCTTATTGAATTATATCCAATGGGTATGAAAAATGCAAAACTCAAATACAACTCTAAATTTGATTGTTCACAAATGTAGTGTTAAAATTCCATTGCAAAAGCAATTACAATGCGTTTATTACTGTTCATATCGTAAAAAATGTTATTTTTACAATAAATTTTTTTTATTATGTGCTATATTAATTTGTGTATCATATTTATGATACGCTATTAATAATAAGTTACTAACAAAAATTTAACATAATTTTGTATAATTTTGCAATTAAGTATAATTATAAATTTTTTTCATTCAACGATAGTGTGGTTTTAGTTCTTTAATATGTATATTAATATGTACGTACTATCCACAAAGAGAAAAACATGTGTACATTGGGTAATAAATATACATATATCTCGTAAAAATTACTTCCATTCTTAATATCTTCAGATTTTAATACCATATTTACAAAGTTCAATTTGGCTCAATTGGGTTACAATATTTGAAAATTTTCTTTCAATCTTTATTGTCACAAATTTGACGATAAAAACGGCAAATTCAAAGATGTTAATATATTATAATATTGTTTATATTATAACAGTTATTTATTATTTTTGGTTAAAAGTTTTCAAATTTATTTATAAAACATCTTATAAAATTTTCACAATGGTAACACCTATTTTATCTAATTTTTATCTAATGTACCATACTCGAAATTTACTCGAACTCGGACTAAAATGAAAAACAATACACTTATACTAATATACCTAATAATAAAACGGTTTCAGTATATTTAATTGTGTTATTTATCCATTATTTTATTATTTAATTTATATGACTTGTGCATAGGGCACAGAACAAATGCAGAATAATGCATATTTGTATAAAATTTCAATAAAAATATATAGAAATGAATATGAAATGAGTAAAACAGCTTTTACATTGTGATGTCTACCCCACAATAGCAATTTCAAAAAGGCTTAACTTTAAAATTATTTTTGTTAAGACTTCTGCTTTTAAGAAAATCGCTAAAATATTATTGCAGGATTTTTCAAATATATTTATAATACCGTTTTTGATTTTTAAAATACATATACAATTGGAAGTAATTATTTTTTTAATCTGTCAAATTATAACAAGCAAATGTTAATTAATTACTTTATAATGATAGCACAATACAAATTTCATGATTTTGTACAAATTTATTTAAACTATTAAAAATTAATTTTTACTACAGGATATATATAATTTGAAATTCTTTAAATAATTTTTAGCTTTTATCAGCTGATTAGAGAAACCAGAGATGATACTTATGTATATTTTCAAAATTATTAGCATTATGTTTATTTCAATTAAAAATGAATGAACTATTCATATCTAAATACAAGAAAATGTAAACAAAAATGAAATGTATGATATACAGAAAACAATATATAGTTATTTTCTTGGTATAACAGTACTCTAACGTACGAGCTTTTATTACAAAGTTTTGTAACATTTCTCTTCTAAACTTTTTGCTTTTCAACACTATTTCTTTATTATTATTATTATTTTTTGTGCAATGACCGTCAGTCATAGGATTTTTCACATTGTTGTGTGCTGGAATACTTCAGATATTTATTGACAGCGCAATGAAATTGTGACAATTTTATAGAAAATATAAATTTAAACTGAAGGCTACAATTTCCAAAAAAAAAAAAATTTGTTTTATAATGATTTTATAATAAAGAACAACAGATTAGACTTAATCTGATAGTGATTTAGAGGCAGACAACGAATACAAAATACGCAAAAGTGACAAAATCGCAGTTTTATCACTGCGCATTTATACACTTTAATCCTTTTGAAAAACCATGGGAGCTAAGGAATCTAAACAACTAATTAGTTTCGATGATGCTGTAAAAAGAGGTAAGGACTGATAGTACGCTTAAATATTTACAACAAATCCGTCGATACTAAAAGATGAAAAAGAGGAATAGTTTACTATGAGGTATAAGTAATTCGACAATAATCGATTGTTGTAAGATTAATCATATTTTCGTTCAACTACACCATTAAAAAACTAATTTAACTATTTTAAAATCATAATAATGATTTTCTATGTCTTAAAAGGTCTAAAATATTTAATGACGTCACAGTTGCAAAACAGACAAATGTAAACTATACCACACTTCTGTTTTCAAGAAAAAGTTCTTATAATAATAATAATGAGTTGGACTGTTGCATATTCTATATAAAACAATATTGAATGTAAATACTACTTAAAATAAAGTCAAATAAAGCTTAAGAATTATTCTCAAATACTACATTAAGGGTTAAAATATTAAATAAATATTAATGTTATATATAAATCTTTGTAAATTTTGTTAAGAGGTAAATAGATAAAATAGGTAGTCTTTTGAAAAAATAACGTACTAATAAGTAGACAATTTTAAATTAGACATATAGCCTTTGCTGTTGTTTTGGATAGAATATTTATGATTTATTTTAAATTTTGAAAATATTTATATAAACATACAGACATTTTCTGGAAAATTAATTTTCCGTTTTAACATTATACATGTTTATAGAAGAACATCGTACAGAAATTTTTAAGCTTAATGGAAAATTTTCTTGTATTCGCTAACACTTGGTTAATTCCGTTCGCTTTAGTGATGTTTTTATAAAATCGTTACTGTGTACAACTTCAATACTAGTTTTGTTCGCTTTTAGTGCTGTTAACTAGCACATTCGATGTTAGGGTAGGATTTGCCACTGCTTGTAGTGTTGCTTTTGTAAATGTTCTCATGTTTTTCTTTGCTGCTTGCTTTGCTCCGTTAGCTAAACTTTGACCCAAATTGAGCATTGACTGATTGCATGAATGGTATGTAGTGATTTACATCGTAACTGATGTAAAGCGCACTAAATTTCAGTAGCAAATGACGTTGAAGATTTTTCTGAAAGCAGTACATAAAATTTATTTAATACACAATTATAAAATTTATTTTTTTTCAATTTTCTTTAAAAAAAAACTAGTTACGGAATCAGAGCTTCGACGTTTGAAAGATGCATTCAAAAAGTCGGCTGGAGTTGGCCGTTTATATTTAAGTCGCAATTCCTTTCAACAAGATGTGCTTTGCGAAGGTGTGCCTCCTAATATAACCGATTTATTATATAGTGCATGCGGTGGTTCTGCTAAAGGTATATCATTTAAAGATCTGCTATGTGGACTTGTATTACTTACCCGCGGTACCGAAGATGAAAAAGTTAGGTAAATTTTAAATAATATGAACATTATTAAAAGCACAGAAGTATTAAACATTTGTCTTTTAGATTTCTATGGAATTTATACTGTAATGATGCTGGCACTTATATTATAAAATCAGAATATATAAAAAATGTCAATCTTCATCCATTTGAAAGTGTTTCATTATTTGCCCAAAATGATCGCATAAATTTCGACCAATATCACGACTGGATATTGCAACATAAAAGTTCAACAATATTATCGAAATGGCTTTTATCATCAGATAGATGCATTAATTTAACGTCAGAACTAGAAACGCCGACTTTTTATCAAAGTTTGGCCGGCGTGACACATTTGGAAGAAAAAGTAAGAAACAAATATTGGCTATTAATTTTACATATTTTTAATACATTTAATTTCATAATATATAGGATATAAGCGATTTGGAAAAAGAATTTTGGCAATTAAAGAATGACTCACCTAATGGACAACTTGATTTGCAATTATTAGCTCCACTATTAAGCCCACCAATCCCAAAAAATGCCTTAATAGGTCTGTTTAATGCTTTTGACGAAAATCGAGATGGTCACATTGATTTTAAAGAACTTTGTTGTGGCGTAAGTGCAGCATGTAGAGGACCAACAGTTGAAAGAACGAGATGTTAGTAAATAAAATAATTTTTTAAGAATTTACTTCTATTTTATTCTACTATTACATAGTCTGTTATAAGATCTTCGATATAGACCAGGATGGCTCATTAAATCATGAGGAAACTATACAAATGATTAATGTACTTATTTTCGTTGCAAAAGAAAATCGTAATTCTAATATTTATAAAGACTTAAAAAAGCAGGATGTTATTAGTGATTTACTAAGTTTTAAAACAAGAAAAAGTGAAGAAGTCAAAACTAAATTGGAACCATGTGTATCAAATAAAGTATTTATTAACTATTTAATATTATTTTAGAAATGAGTAATTTATATAAAACACATTTTTTCGTAGGATAATATCTTATTGACAGCTGAAGACTTTATGATGTGGAGTGTAGAGAGTAATTCAAAACTTGTACAGCCTTTCTTAGATCTTATTTTTGAAGTATGTCATATTGTTTTTGGACTCTGGCCTCAATGCAGACATATGGAATATGATATTGGTATTTAACTAAAACTATATATTAATATTATGATAAATAACAAGCACTTTATATTTTGTATTGCTTCTAATAACATTATAACTGAATAAATATATTATTTTTAATGTAGTTTAAAACCCTATTGCTATAACTCTATAATATGCATACTATTGCTATTGTATGCATATTAATTATAAATAAATAAATAAATATAATTTTTACTATTTTAAACAGTGCGCGGGTGGTTAAAAAGAGAAGAAAAACGGCAATATTCTGTGGGGCAATTTTGGTATTTAGTATCTAGAGAATGGTGGATGTCATGGATGCAATATTCGCAAAACACATCTACACCATGCGATTATTGCAAGAAAACGATAAGTCAACGTAACTCTAATGTTGGGGTAGTAGATGAAGCCCTTATATGTGATGAAAGTTTTAATTCAAACTATTTAGATATATCAGGTGATGCCGTAACTATAATAGATAATTGCAGCATTGGTAAGGATTATTAAAACATGTCTATTTTCGTATTTATTTTTTGAGATCTATTTACCTAGGCTCAGTTAGCAGTGGTGTATCTACAGGACAATATGGGCGAAGGCCAGGACCAATCGATAACACTAATCTTATAACACCAAACCCATATAAAAATGTGCGAACATTAACTGGTGAGGGTGGTCATCTAAAACGTGATACTCCCCTAGTACAAAATCATGACTTTGAATTGGTTCCCAAATCTTTATGGAAAGCATTAAATCGTTGGTATGGACATAATTTGCCTCTACCAAGACAAGTATATATTGCAACTTGTATATTAATAAAGCAAGTTATGATAACAAATTTTTTGGTATTTCGATAGGTGATTCAACCACCAAATTCAACAAGCGTGGAATTAGAATTATACCCTTTAAATTTACGCATACTATTGCATCAGAGTATGCCTAATAATGCAACAGTCAATAGTTGGGGAGCAGTTTCAGGTTTGTAAAAGTTTACTTGAAATATATTTTTAATATTAAATTGTAGATAATTATGTAGGTGGTTATGGTGTGATGGCTTCTGGCGGAGGTTATGCTGCAATTTCAGCATCTAACGTTTTGCAGCCACCAAAACGTTATTTGGCGTACACTGCTGCCTTTAGTCGTCTAGCGACTATAAGGCAAATCGGCGAATTCTTATGCGTACAATTGAGACTAAGACCGGACGATGTACGATTATGGCACATTCCTGCAGGTTCATTGGAAAATAGCGCAATACTACTTGAAGAAGATAATATGACACTCAAAGAATTGGTTATCAAAGATAACGATCAAATATTGCTCGAAATACGTAATAAAGATTTAACTTGGCCGGAGGAACTAGGATCATTGACACTTAATCAAAATAGTACTGTAAATGATCGTCGATTAACGCGTACGTCTATTATGTCTGTACATGCACCTGGTGCTACAGGATTGCATAACTTGGGTAATACATGCTTTATGAATGCAGCGTTACAAGTATTATTTAATACACAGCCATTAGCGCAGTATTTTCATCGGGATATGCATATGTTTGAAATAAACAGAGAAAATAAACTAGGCACACGTGGACAGTTAGCCACACGATATGGCGAATTGTTAAAAGAAGTATGGACAGCAACTACACGTTCAGTGGCACCACTTAAGCTTCGTATATGTGTTACCAAGCATGCATCCCAGTTTGCTGGTGGTGGTCAACATGATTCTCAAGAGTTGCTTGAATGGTTCCTGGATGCATTGCATGAAGACTTAAATCGTGTAATGGATAAAACATATAGTGAATTAAAGGATTCAAATGGACGCTCAGACAAAATTGTTGCGGCGGAAGCATGGGCTCAACACCATGCACGTAATCAATCTATTATTATTGATTTATTCTATGGACAGCTTAAATCAAAAGTAAGCTGTTTGGGTTGTGGAAAGGAATCAGTGCGTTTTGATCCATTTAGTTTATTGAGTTTACCCTTACCAGTAGAAAATTTTATCTACTTTGAAGTACTTGGTATAACAACTAATTAACATTTTTAATTCAATCAAACTACTTCTTTGTTTTATTTATAGTAATATTATTAGACGGATCTGTGCCTATCAAATATGGTTTGCGTTTAAATTCCGAATCAAAATATATAGAACTGAAACGAAAACTTGCCACTTTGAGTTATTTAAATCCTAACTATATGCTTGTTTGTGAAATTTGGAATTCACAAATAAGACAAATACTTGCTGATGATCAAAAAATAAAACCAGCTACCGCAAAAGAACTGTATGTGTATCAGTTACCGGAAGAGTGTAACTATAGATCACGTTCAAGTTCTACATTGGGTATAAGTATTGAAAAAGGACTTAAGGATATACAACGAAGTTCTGGTTAGTTATATTTAATTTTACATTACTATATAATTAAATAATGTTATATATTTTATTTTCTAGCTCTTATAAGTGGTCAAGATTCCTTGAGTTCACTTAATACTTCATTTAACAATATAAATCAAACTCAACCTACAAGCAATTTTGCCTCACAGTATAAAACGCATATGAGTTTTGAAGACGGTGCCAACGGTGCTACGTGTCAATTAGATGATGATGAAGATGACGAAGATGACGAACAAGTATCAACGAAGGTAAGGAGGTGCTTTGGAAACACTATGTGCATGCCCCAGAATTTATTATGCTTCAAGGTATGGCTTTATAAACATTAATGTATTTAATATGTAAAGTTCTATGCATAGGGTTCAAGCAAGTAATAGTGGGTGATGCGAAAGCGATACCCCCACAAAAAATATTGAACGAAGTATAAGGAGGTTAAATTTTTGTAATTTTAAAGTGTGGCCAAAAATGTAAGGCATAAATGCATAATGCAAATAACAGTCAATATTAAATACAATTATGTTAAGAAGAAGTACCTTTCTGGTTTTGGAAATTGTAAAGAAATAAAAATTTTTTTAGTTTAATTTGTAACGTTTTACAATAAAAAAATTAACTTAACACCTCAATACTAATTTAGATAAAGTAGCGCTAATTTTGTAATTATGCTTTTTTATTTTTAAATTTATTTTTACATTTACAAGAAAATCTTGTATCAAAATGTTTTAGCTGCAAATGATTTATATGTGAGCTGAAACAGACTAATATTATTTAAAGCTTAAACCTAATTTTTTATGGTACAGGAAAGGAACTGCTTAACGCATTAAAGAAAGAACTTGACTGACTATGGAAAATTATAATATTCTGCACACTTTTAATACTTGAGTGATAATTTCACTATAATTTTTTTTATTTATATAAAAATATAATGAATTGAGTCGAACAGATAATATATTGATAAAAACAGTCAACAATACAGATACCACTTTTTGATTGTCTTCTAAACATTTGTACATACAATTTTTAAATCAAGAGTATGCTTTTAACTCTTATTATGTCCATAATAACTAATGGCTCTGCTGATGTTCTTTTATTTCATAAAAACGTTTTCTCCTTCTCTGTTAATAATTTTTACAAAACAATTGTAAATATAAAATAGCTTAAAATCGAAATTAAAACATTATAATTGCATTCAATTGGTGAGAAGAAACTAAACCTAACAAATAAAAGTTTTTCGCTACTAATAATACAAAATTTAATACAAAATAATTTATTACCCAAGGAGGAGGAAAAAATAATTTTATCTTACTTTTAAATTACGTTTAAATATCTTGATTAGACAAGATATATATAACTTTATTGTATTAATATCAAATATATTGTTGTATTTCTGTCCACGTTATACAACAGTAGTGAGCCGTAATTTATTAAATAAAACATATTTAGTTATCTCAATATAATTGCAGTTAAAAGCTTTCTTAGTGATTCCAACTAGTTATATTATTTTCTTATTTTTTTATATAAACATTTATTAATATTTAAGCCCACTTGATTTACACATTTCCTGTAACGCACACTTTATACATAATTTAGTTGAAAAGTTTATTACACTTTTTTATTTATAGTAGTTTTAATTAGGTCTTCATTTTTTATAGAATAATGTAAAAAGTTAAAAAAAAAATGAAATCAAACTAATCATTTTTATGATAGCAAACACCCGATCTAAGTCGTAGTCCCGAAAACACTTTTGTAAGTGGGACACAGAAAAGCGTCTCATCAGCAAAATTATTGCATGGTGAAAGCGTTACATGTTCCTCTTCATTAACACATCATTCCGGTGAAAATTCAATGGAAAGTTCCACAACTGAAACGTTACCCATTGATCCTATGGTATCCATGTGTGATAATGATAATCGATTGAATAATGCAACTAGCAAACTGAATTCAACTGAATTTTCAAATGAAAGCACGGATTACAGTAAAAACTTTGGGCGAACGTATAAAGAAAGTTCGTTCAGAGATAACAGTGGTAACAGCAGCATTGGTGTGAATGAGAACGAAATAATACAAGGCCAAATAAGCAATAATTGTATACAAACTGAAAGCATTTGTAATGGAATCTTCTCGCGCGTTCCATCGCAACACTATAAAGTAGGAAAGTATTTGGTAGCAGTCCATCGAAAAATAACACGACAAGATAGTTACTTTTTATCGTATCACAAAACGCGTCCAAGTCTTTTTGGTGTTCCTTTGTTGATACCAAACAGTAATGGCGGTACACATAAGGATTTGTATTGCGCAGTGTGGCTACAAGTAAGCCGGTTATTAAGTCCTTTGCCAGCTTCCACGGATCAAGCAAATCATGCTGCTGATTGGTAAGTAAAATCAATTTAAACATAAATTTTTATATATTGTATTATATTTTAATTGCTGTAATCACAATTATATATTTTATATGTATATGTGTATGTTATTTTAAAAGATTGTAAATGTAGACTATATTATTTATTTATTAGTGATGACAGCCTAGGTTACGATTTTCCATTTACGTTACGTGCTGTTAAAAAGGACGGTTTGACTTGCGCTTTATGTGGTTGGTCTGACTTCTGTCGAGGCTGTGAAATACCATGCAATAACGATTACTTACTACAGGGTTTCGTTGTTTCGGGCAGTCCCAATACAAGTATTCTTATATTTATAATTAACTAATATTTAATATTTAATTAAAATTTTGTATATCTCTTAAAGGCAATTCATCAACTCCCAAAATGACATCTAAATATTCATCTTTACCAAATCTAGAAACTAGAAAGCATCAGCCTGAATACTTACCTTCAATATCTCACAACACTAATTCATCTTTGAAGACTATTGACGATTACACTATAGCTATTGATTGGGATCCAACGGCTTTACATCTACGTTATCAAAGTACTTTAGAGCGTGTAAGTTAAAAAGTGTAAATATAAGTTTATTAGGTAACTGACTTAATCAAAACGTGTATGTAATAATCTTTTAAAATTTGTAGATATAAATTTTTATGTACACATAATAAATAACAATATTTCAATTATTTAGGTATGAGAACATGTTATAATAGAAAATAAATTGTATTATGTAATTTTATTTAGTATGTTTAAATGCTAATTTTAGTTTTTGAAATTTTAGTTGTGGTCAGAACATGAAACGATTTCAATATGCCGAAAAGAACAAATAGAACCAGTTGATTTGAATCACTGTCTACGAGCATTTACTTCGGAAGAGAAACTGGAACAATGGTACCATTGTGGCCACTGCAAAGGCAAAAAGCCGGCTACCAAAAAATTACAAATTTGGAAATTGCCGCCTATTCTAGTAAGAATAAAGTTTGTTTTTAATTATGATAAGTTTTTGTAATTATTTTGTGTTATAGATTGTGCATTTGAAGCGATTTAACTGTGTAAATGGTAAATGGGTTAAATCTCAGAAATCTGTACATTTTCCCTTTGATGATTTTGATCCAACACCGTATTTGGCATCGGTACCACAGGAAACTATACTTCGACATAAAGAACTACTAGAATTAAGGCAACCCGATGAAACTATTGAAGAACTAGAAATGACAAATGAAGATGCTATACTGAATGAATATGGAAAGGAACAACAATCTACAAATAATACAAATAATGGAAATAATGTTTGTAATGAGGCTGAAGTGAATATATCATTAGATAATGCGGTGGAAATAAAAAATCAAACCAATTATCAGCGTACTAAATTAGATAATTGTAGTAATGTTGTTACTATCTCTGAAGATGTGAATGAAATAAGGGAATTTTCTGTTAATAACGATGGTTTATTTGATAATTCCGAAATGAACACCAACACACTACGGAATAAATGCTCTGGTGTAGAAAGAAGGAAAAGGCTTATTTCGACAAGTCTTACTAAAACACCAATAGTTGACGGTGAATTTGAAGATTTTCATCAACATATGGTTAAAACGGCAATAGATAAATTCGATCCAAAATATAAACTTTATGCTGTTGTTGTAAGTATAAAAAAAACAAAATTTTTTGTTTTCCATATTTGTTATTAACTTAACTTCTTTTCTTTTAGTCCCATTCAGGTATGCTTAATGGTGGTCATTATGTATCTTATGCAGCTAATCAAAATGGTTCGTGGTATTGTTATAATGATAGCTCATGTCGGGAAATTACAAATCAACCGACAATAGATCCTAGTTCCGCCTATTTACTATTTTATGAACGAAAGGGTCTTGATTATGAACCTTATTTGCCAAACTTCGAAGGAAAAAGCTTACCAAATGGAGGCGTAAATATGGATATTGATGAAACTGAGTCTGATTTGAAAAAGCTTTGCAATATCTCTTAAAAATAATCAGCGCCGTTTGTTCTAGTTATCGATCGTGATTAAACGTATCGCTTTAAAAATATACCAACTAATAATTACGTTATTAGGTTATATATTATTATTTCCTTTTAAACTGTAAGTTTAAAAAATTTACATTATTTCTGGGCAACATACCAAATTTAATAATTATGGAATTTATTATTATTTATTATTAAGATGCCGTTTTTGTTATTTTAAGTAGTTACCAATTGTTAAATTGCAAGTGCAATAAAAAATATTTTGTATATATGTTTTGCTTTAAATTATAATTGTTATTTTGTGAAATTTATTTTTTGTTTAACAAAATTTAAAAGCCTAAAAGTCAAGTATAGAAAGGTAAATTAAGTAAAAATAAACTTTTAATTGTATATAGCACTTTATTATTGATACAGAAAATTATGTTATACAAAATAAATTAAGTACATTTTTCTGAGTTGATATTATACATATTGTTTGCTGCATAACGAAGTTGATATTTAATAACGGTCTTATATTTATTAATATGATATTGTATAGTATGTTTATTGCTTTACGTGTATTATTGTGTCTTATTCCATTGTGTCATTATATATATATTTATGTATTTAAATCAAATTAAAAATTTAAAAATTATACATTAAAACTTTACAGTATTTAAAATAAAGATGCTTTTTAATTATAATAAATAAAATAGTTTATTGGTTATTGGTATGTTGTTTTTATTACTAATTATATAAATTATTTTTATGTGTACATTATTTACGTATATCGTAGTATGATATTATTTATAACGAAGAAGAAAAAAATAGAATCGCTTAAATAAAATAAGTTCACAAAATTTATTAAATTTATTTATTTTTAATTACACGTTGGAAGTACAAATATTAAAACACATTTCTGCAAATAGGGCACGTAGATTTGCTGCTCGTAGTAAACCATTTATACTGTAAATAAGAAGTAGTATACATATTTGAATTAATTACTTATTATAATTATATATATTGTTTTGATTGAATGATTTAATAATACAGATTTTTTGCATACAATAATTGTTATTTAAAGATCTGTTGCATTTCACAATATATATAGCAAAATATCATATTTTACGTAAGAAAGAATTTAAATAGTAATATGTCAATATATATATTGTATATAAAATATAATATATATATATCAATAACATCAATATTATATTGCAATTTATCTATTTTTTTGAATATGGCTTAGATCATAAATAACCATTTTTGTAGGTTAATATATATGGATGGTTGTACAATATGATGATGTGTTTTCCTCTTCAAATTTATTGAGAACTGTATGAATGTACAGTAGCAAATGGAGGAAAAAGTCACAGATGTAGATTTGAATAACCAATTTATTTAAAAATAGAAAAAGATTAAACTAACCCCAGGTTATTTTTATAAACTTTATCAAATTACGAGCAGAATTATGTTGTTGTGACCTGACTTAAAAATCTGACAAGCAAAAAAAATGCACTGAGTTGCAGATGTATACTGTCTTAAAGCAGATACTACACCGGGATGAACATCCGAAAGTTTCATTCGATATTCGATGTCATTGATGCTTTTTCCTTTGCAATAGTTTTTAATGTATTATATTGTACAAAAATTGACAAACGCAATGGGCATCTATTTCTATGATAAGTGAGGTAGAATCCTTGGATAGCAGCTTATTATAGGCTTCTATAAGAAGTAAGTTATATTATATATGATATATGATAACAACTACTTGAAATTCGAAACTTTAAATTTGACATGTTTGAATATTACTGGACAATCAAGAGCTAGTGAATTATAAATAAAAAGTTTTTTGTAGTAATTTCTAAACCTGCTGCATAACTCAATATCATATGTGAAGAATATAAGCATACTATTTCTACTGATTTCCAGAGTAAAATTATTTATTTACTGCAGGAAAAAAAGATACGTATAATGATTTAGAGGATAAGAATTCTATGCCAACCACTTATTATATTAAGATATTATACATAAATAACTTTATGCGGTCACGAGTGTAGTTGTACACATTAGAATTGATGACAAATAACAGTATTGTTCAAGCTCTTACGCTACGGTCAAGTTTTGATAAAAATTCAAATCTGAATAATTATGGTGACTATGCGCAGGTTTAACTAAATTCACTAAACTAAAGCCAATTTCCGGATGGTTTTTTTCTCTCAAAGTTGTGTACGTCTGTCTGCGATAAGACATTTAGTATTTGTTTAATTAATTAGACTATGATCAACACCTAATCATTTCCGTTGTTCTGTGTTACGCTTTATTATTTAAGGGCCTTGTTGGTATTACGTTAAGTCGACCCGTCATAATCTCGGATGATTTTTTGACACTGTATTTATTAAGTTGTTCATTAGATTTAGTGAGTTAAATTTTGACAACTAAATTACGTAAACTACAATATACAAAACAATGACGTAACATTGCTAGGCCAATAACACAATATTTTACAATTGGTTTTTACTTTAAGTCATATAAAGTATAATTTTGTTTTTAATTTTTGAGTTGTTACGTCGAAATTACATTAAAGTCGGTGTTATTTATTTTATTCCTAATATTAGGATTTCTCCTATAAAAAGTATACAAAAAATTAACGCTCGAAATAAAAGTTAATATTTTAATAAAAACTGACTATAAAAAGTAAAGTTTAAGTCATATAGTGTGATTGAGAAACTATGAGGAGAAAAAATTATTATAAAACACAGCCGTAGTTTCTGTTAATATTTAAATAAAGTTTCAGCACCGAAAAAAAGTCCTTGATATTAACAAAACGACTTATGATGGTCTCACTTCAATTGTAACAATAACTCTAACCATAAGCCCTTTTCAGTTTCAATACTTAGAAAGTTTTCCGCATTAATATTTAACTTAAATATTAGTGGAATCCCCAAGCGAACATCAGTATAAAAAGAAGTAAATATATTTTAAAGCTTGTTATACGATAATGTTATGTGTGCTATACGTATATGTAATATAGTTGGTACAATTTGTTCAATTCAATTTTTTCAATTATATATATTAAATACACTAAAAGAGAATATTGAGTATTTTTCATTTCTAACATCATGAAGTTAAATACTTTTTAAGTATCAAAATGTTATTAAAACGTATTCAAACATTTTAACTGACAACCAATTATATTAAGCTAATATCTGCAGCAAAAAGTTATCGGTTATACAAACACTACTTCTAAAATAATTCATTGACAATATTGGCAATATTCCTTATTTTATGATTAAACTACTAATAATTGTGTTTTTCATAAATTATGCAAAAATTATTTATAAAACATACCAAACAAGGTCCATGAAATTTCTTTTTACAAGTCTTGCATCTTAATTTAGGCAATTGGCAAGTATCCTGGTGTATGACATTGTAACAAATATAACATTTTTCAACTCCTTCGAATTTCTTATCCAAATCATTTTTCCACATGGTTAAACCATCAAATATTCGACCATTCTAAATTGAAAAACAATAGATTTGAAAAACTATTCTTGAGTTTAATATAATTTTATTGCTTTACCTGAGCTGTCATAAAAAGTGTTAACTGCATACCAATATTACGTTGCGATGCTCGACCTCCAATTTGCTTACCACATTCAGCTTTTGCGCTAGCTAGTGGATAGTTTATTGGTAGTGTTATAACCAATTCCATTCTAACTTCATCGATAGAATAAATAGCAAAGACTTCCCGGGTTGAAAAGTGCACAGTTACCTATAAAATTTTTATTTTATTTATTATAAATTTAAAAACATAGATTATTATCTAAAACTCTCACACAATCCAATACCGCTATTATTTACTCACAAACATCACAAAAATTATTTAAAGAATCACAAAACTTATTTTCAAATCAAGCAATCATACCACATTTTATTAGTAAATTTGGATTTACCAAGTTTCTTTTTAGTTTACATTAATGTTCATTAACACAAGTTATGGTTGATTGCTCGATATGAAAGCAAATATATTTTTTGTATAACCCTTATTCAATTGAAATCGAATATGATAACAATATGAATGCAAAATTTTAGATTCTACTAATATAATAATAATGGATATTACATCCAATCTTCAAAATATTTTATTAATTTTGAAAATCGATGTTGCGATCAATATTGTTGTTGTTGTTGTTGTTGTAGTCTGTAGGAACGTATACGACAAGTAACAAAGAAATGACAAAGAGAATAGTTGGGAACAAAAGCAGAATATGGTGAGTTAAAGTTAAGAAGCTTCAATTTTTGGAAATCGTACATTAAACAAACTAAGCTTTTTATCTGCTACTATTATATGGTAATATGATTCGCGATCATATGAATTAACTAAAAAAATGGTAGGCGCTTAACAGCTCAACCTAGTAGCTAACACATTAACAGAACGAACCCTGAAAAATAAAAAATCATGAATAAGAACAGCTTTGAAATAAAAATAGGTAACTACAAGAATAACTTTCAATTCAATGAACTTGTGTTTTCAAATAAAGCTATAGTTTATAAGCTTATTCTAATTTAAAGCACGATAAGTGCTTTGGTTAGTGCCGGAACTTAAAGTTCTAAATATGGTACCACTAACTACATCAAAATAAGCTCTTAAATTACAAAGTTTATATAAAAGGAAATAGATGAGATCAAGGGTGAGTTTATAACAAATACATATCATTCATAATAGTTTACCTGCATGTTTTCATGTTTATCCTTTAGGTGTGTGATAGCTTTGAGTTCCTCTTTGCATATTTGTTCAGACACATAGTTGGTTGTTAGTTTATCTACGAAACTTTTTGGTCGAGGCGGAGAACAATTCCACCACTTTCTGACAACTGCTGGTAGTTTACGTAAAAACTCAACATACAAGTAGCAAGCATATTTTTTTAGTTTGAAGTTTCTTTCTAAAATTCAAAAATTAAAATTAAAATTATTTTTTAAGAAAACTATTACGTTTTGAAATAAATATAAACCAAAGAGCAATATATTTCAAGTTTTTAAGTTTTTGTTTGTAATGGTAAATTTATAGGTTTCCATAAAATGGCGTTAACTTTTGACAAAATTCCAAGTGAAATAGACCTTGTTAAGCAGTTACCACCACAACCACCCGTTGAGCAGGAAATAAATTCTTTACGGGACACTTTAGAACATCGTACTACACGATGCAGATTAATTAAACGTCTGCATACTAAACAAAAGAAAGAACCGCATCATCTAATTTATAAATTTTTCTGCGTTTGTCCACATTACAATCCCGATTACTGTAAAGTTTGTAAACATTCTGGTAACGTTATCATCGATCGTGATGTGTTAACAAAGGAGGAACACTTGTGCTTCTTAGCTACACCAAAGAAAAACTATCAAGAACCGCGTAAACTACCGCATTACTACCAAAAGAAATGTTTGGTACCTAACTGCACTACACGTATCGCGGAATTAGCTGAACCCAGTATTCCACGCGTTCAATACACAATTGAAAACTTTAAAAATATTTTAAAAAGTAACCGCCTAGTAAAACTAAAAACGCACTTGGTAAAAAAACCAGAGGTACAGCACACTACGATTAGAATGGCACTCAATTATATCGATGAAGAGAAGCGTTTACGACGTGTAGCTAAAATAGTCCAGAAACGTCGATGCAAACGTATGAAGAAAAACATTTTAAAGAAGCAACGCAAACAAATAAAGAAAATTGTTATGGTGTTGTTTGAGGAAATGAAAGATTTCCTTTTGAACGATCAGTTTATGATTGACGAAAAATCACCATTATGCGCTGTGATACTTGAGAAGATAAGGGATTTTACAGGTTAGTTTTAATTTAAATATTAGAACTACGTTTACATTATTCGTATATATTTTTATGAAATTACATTTTTGTTTTTTTTTTTGAGTAGATCAAGAATTTTATACAACGTCAAACTTACGTGAATATCAACAAATTTTAGCTAACAATTTAACGGTTTGGATCAACAAATTTATATCTAACCTAAATATTCATGTAGCACCCCAGACAAGACGATTACTTAAACCTGATACTGAACACTTTTTACCAGTTCAAGATTTCATTTCTCAGTCAGAAACAATGGAAGAAGAAGCAATTAGTGAGGGAACATATTTGCCGACAATGTTGACTGAAGGCGGGGAATATGAACAGGAAACTGACCCTCATATAGAATCTAGAACCTAAATTTTATACTTTTACCTTTATTTTCAGTCCAGTCAAAGCTCATGAATCCATTAAACGTTATATTTTTTCTGGTGTCGTAATTTTTTAAGATATCCTCTGGCATTGCACGATATAGAAAGTGTAATATATTCTGTAAACCAATCATTTATTAATATTAAGGTACATAGAATATTATATATATAAATTAATAAATGTAACAATTTAAACAAACATACTTCCTCGTATCTATTATCCGCTATCCACTTTGTGTATTGCGCTCTTAAAGGTGAAGAAGAAGTTGCACATATGTGAATTATACAATCCCAAAGTAAGAGATATGGGAGTCCGACATGAACGTCAATATCTTCGAAATCTTCTATTTCAGTTAGTTTAAAACTTTAAAAGTTTAAAAAGTTAATTGATTAAAATTAAATTAATTAGTTAAATTATAATAATTGCTTGATTTGTAAAAAACTATTCTACTTTTTTATAATAATACTACTAATCATAACAAAACTACAACTTAACGAATTGTTTTCGACTACAAAGTTGTAGAACTTATTACCGTAGGCACATAAGGCTTTTGTAAGAAAAATTTTTGTTTTCTGAATAGAAAAAATTAATAAATTTATGATGTAATACAGTGCGTTATATATACTCTTATGTAGAAAGATAAACGTGATATATGATGTTGTACAAACTACACCAAAAGAGAGATCAATTTATGAAAATATTCATAATCAGCTATCCAAAAGCTATCCAAGATGCGATAAAATAAAATGGGTCATTATCCCATATTTGTACTCTTAATGCATGGTGATATATATATGAACCATATATAGGGTTCAACCATTTAAAATCACATTAATTGTGGTCAAACTTAATTATACGTGACATAGTAATTAATCACAATTACTTACCTAAATTCATTTGTGTATTTTTGTATAGAATCTTGAAATTGTTTGATATAATTCTCAAATCTATGAAGAAAATATCCTTGAGGTAATGTCTGATCATCACATGAATCGATTTTCTTTTCTAATGCTGTGGTATCTTCAGAAATAAAATGTATTGATAATTGCTTCAATACTTCTAATGAAGTAAATTTAACAGCATTAATAGGGTTTTTCAAATTTTCAAATAAAAATTTTAATATTTCATCCAAGCTAATGTCTTTTGAAGTTTCATGAAACTAAAATATAAACAATAAAAATATTTAAATTACTATAATTTATATTTGGATGAATTGTAAAACATTAACTTACTTTGAAAATTTCACTGTAATCTATAAGTTCGATAGCAGGTAAAATTTCATCCATTACCGAAACAAAACATAGAAAACTCATACCATTTTCTAAAATGCAAATTTTGGTATATTTAATATATATATTATTATTATACTTATACAAAATTATTTACCCTTTATTTGTTTATTTAACAATCGATAAAAAGATTTGAATAAAACTAAATTAACATCACGTTTAAAAACTTTTTCCCATTCATCGATGACTTTAAGCAGCACTTCAGATGAGCTTTTCGTTTTCTCTAAGTTAATAAACTTCGTTAAAGCAGCAAATAATTTATACACGCTAACAATAAATAAAATTGTCTAGAATTGAAAGAATAAGTTTAATGTGTATATTATTATAATATTTAATTACCTTTGGATCAGTATAAAACTCGACCGATTTTGCAACACTAAGTACCCAAGAGCTTAATCCGATGCGTATTACATCCCAATTTTTAATCGTTAAAACTTGTGAAAAATTACTTATAATTTCCGAAAGTAAATTTATATATTCGACTGTATCAATAACCACCAAGTTCAATTGTTTGTTAATTGGCCTGTAAATAATATTAAAAAAATATATAATACTTAAAATTATTGTACATATAAGTAATATATATTATTTTGTTTAAACTTACATGTTGAAGAGTAACAAATCTTTTTGAGTATGTTGTCTTTCTGATATATCGTTAACAATTTGCAATACTGCTGTAACCATTATATTATCTGATATATTGTTGTATTCACCACTAAAATTATTTTTTATAAGACATCGAAAAACTGATGCTTTAATCCACATTAACGATGGAACTTTTTGCATAATAGGACTTTCCAATGTAAATGTACTTTGAGATAAATCGGGTAATAGGTACTATTTAACAAAAGAGATAAATTACAATTGCAATTGAAATAAAAAATTAATAGACTTTCTTACTTGCAAACAATTCAAATAAGCTTTCAATTTATCCTTTGCTATAAAATTGTCAGAAATATCTTCAGATAGTACTATTGTAGAATTTTCTTCAAACTGTGCGTATTGTTGATAATAAATTAAAAACTTCAGAGAGCGACATGGTGAAATATCTGTTTCCTTATTTATTTCTTCCATAATAAGTTCTTTTACCCTGTTAACTATTGCCGAATCACTACCCATAAATAATTTTACTTTTTCTGATAAAGCAATCATTAACGTTGTTAACTCATCTTCTAACTTTAAATAAAGTATATATAGAAAATTATGCAATTATTGAATATAAAAAAATGCATACCAAATTAGTATTACTTATTAAGCTATCACCAATTCCTGCAATATAAATACTTTTAAGTATTTGGGTTAATAATAATTCAGACCAATGTGTGAGCAAATTTTTAGTTGGATCATAGTATGCTCCTGATGTATCGTCATCGTTTAACTCATTTTCTACGTGCTGTTTTTCTGTTTCTTTGCAGACTAATTTATATATTGTTACAAAATTAAGGAATGTTCGTTCAAAAATTGTCTTCATATCAAAATCCTCGACAGAGCTTTGTGATAGCGTTATGTCAGTTGATATCTGTCGTTTAATACATTCAATAAATAAACAAAACTCTTTTAGTTTTGCGACATTAAATATTGTCTTTTGATCTTTAAGTAAGAGGGCACTCAAAGCACCATCTACCTTTTCGTTACGATCATGATTATTGGTGGTTTTTGCTATTAAACATAATACAAATTGAGAAATTGTCGTAGCTTTATTTTCTACAGAAATAAGGCTGAAATCATCTAAAAGTAGACTTTGATTTACTGCATGTCCGCACTCATTTAAAATTTGCTCATCTATAATAATATCTTGAGTTAATAAAGCATCCTGCCAGCAAGTTGTTATTTCCCATAGTGTATCTTCAGATATAAATTCATTTGCTGAACGCTCTAGTGTAAATTTGAAGAGCTTTAAAAACACATCCGCTTGAACTGATTTTGAGGCATGACTACAAATGATACTCATGTTTTGTGCAATGAAACTACAACATGAATCTACATCATCATTGAGATCTTCGGCTGTTAAAACTTCTGATAATATTGTAAAAATAGAATCCACTGTTGCAGAAGTTATAGGTATTTCTCCATCATTAGTTTGGAAAAAACATTTACTCAATAAACTCAAATTCCCTACTGTTCCATTAACAACTTCACGTGTAATATATTCAATACTTAACTGAACTGCAGGTTCTGATAATATTGTACGTACTTCTGGTTCAATACACATCGGATACGAAAGTAATTTCTGAATTACCGCCTTTTTAACTTGTGGATTTTTTATCTGAAAATAATAAAAATACAATGCACAATTTTAATTATAAAATTATTTTTTTCGAATATAACAATTATTATCCTCCATATATAAACTTACATTTAAAAGGTGCTTGTTAATAAATTCAAAACATTCCAATTTTTCAATTAGTTGTAATACTTCAAAAATTAAGTCAATCATATTATCGCAAGCATTGTCATCTAATAGATCAATTGTACTTAAAAGTAAATTTAATGTTGATGTTAGATCATCAGCAGGTGTTAAACTTTTATAAAAATCTTTATCCGAGTATAGCTTTGTAAAATCACGCATATAATTTACATATGCTGAAGACTTTTCTACTATAACATTATTTATGCAAAAACTCATTAGCTTTGAGACCAACTTTTTTAATTTAATTCTAATTGAATTGAAATCTATTGAGCTCGCTTCTTTATCTTGGTCTAGTTTCATGATAGTAGTGTCAGATTCTTCAACAAACTTAACCTTTTGAGTTCCGAGATTTGGTTTTGTTGAATAAAGATGATTCATTAGTTGAACAGTATTCTCCAAACATTTATTTTCAATTGCATTGTTTTCCATATTTTTAATAATCACATCATTTAAACTTTCCCAAAATTGTTGAAGTAATTGTTCATGGTAAGTGGTGTTATTTATTTGACGCTCTGTTAAAAACGCAATGAAATTAGATGTGTGCAGAAAAAAGTTATTGCCTCTGTTATTGTCGCAACTTAAAAAATATTCAGTAGGTTCAACTACATAATCTATAACCAAATTTTTTATAAATACATCCTGCTCGACTGTTTGCTCTTCAACGCTAATTTTTTGTGTCATAAAACGTAAGCATTCAAAGTACGCTTTAAATACGGCGTTCAGATTGCCTTTTGAAGAGACTTTTTCTTGCATTATATATGTTTTCATGTCTTCGAAGATTTTTTTATAAAAAGTATACAAACTTATTTCTTGGAAACACTCTGGAATCAGATGTGATAAAAATGGTAACATATTTGGTGCTATAGATTCTGCATTTTGTTTAAATCCATTTCGTAGTAACAAAGACAATTTGGGTAGAATTGTTTTCTGAAAATTCGTAACTTTGTGCCTATAAATATCTTGAATGAGCACTACATTTTTCATAATGTGCGATATACATACCAATCAGAAAATGTTGTTTGCACTAACAGAATACAACCCCATACATGTGGAGAAACTAAAGGATCACAATCATCAAAATTTTGAAAAGTAATATTAATTGCTTGCGATTTTATTTTTGGCAGAAAATCCGATAATTGTTTAGATTGCAAACAATGATAAAGAAATTCAAACCAAGCGGCCCTATAATATATATAAGTATTATTATATAGTAGTATTATAAATAAATTAAACAGAAATTCGAGTACTTACTTTATTACAGCTACTTTGTGTTTAGAAAATGACCAGAATTTTTGATGTGTAATTAATGTTTCCATGTTTGTAAGAGTTTGTGGTTGGTAATCTGAATTCAGTGTGTGTTCCATAAAAAAAGATAGCTCCTTCAAACTGGACATAATTATCCTTTGATATTTTTGTTCAGCTTCTTCCGGTTGTAAGGTTTTACCATTAGAAATTGTAGCAGGAGTATGAAAAGTTAGATTTTTTACTGTATACTCCATAATTTCTTTTTGGCTATGTAGACATACTTCCTGTACACGATTGGTATGCGCAGCAAATGTTTCACGAAAACTATTGCTAGCAATACTAGCTGCCGGTGCATAGTTATCGAAATGACTAGCTAACCATATCGGCACTAATTGTTTCAAGAATGGTGCAACATTTTTTTTACACTTTGTTACTAATAATTGTTGAACAGTTTGCGCTAGTTCACGAACGTTATGCTCCGTATCGACTGCTAAATTTTGATAGTATTTTGGCCACACTGGTAAGATAAGTTTTACATCATCATCCGTTGAGGTATTAATTACTTCAATAAATTCTTGAAGTGCCTTTTTTTTAGTGAGACAATCTTTCTTTGACATTTTACGAAATATCATCTGAAGTTGCGGACTAATATTTGCTTCAAATGAATCAGTTAGATTTTCAGTTGTGGTAAAGCCTGGTGCAAATGGCACCAAACCTAGTTCTGAATGAACAGAAAATCCAACAAAATTGGGTACTTGTCCCAATAGTTCAGCACTGCGACTGCTACTTGATGGCTACACATTAAAAACATTATTTAATATTTGTTTAATTATTAATTAAGTTTTATAAGTACCTTGACATTGTTTTTGGTTCTTTGCGTGTTTTTCGTTTTGCCACCCATAACTTTAAAATTTTTAAATATTACGTGCCAACCAAAATATATAAAAACATTTACTCATGTTATCTTTCTGACTGTCAAAAGATTTCACAATTAACACAATAAAGTGTTACCAGATATTTTTTTTTATATATATTTATGTGCACGTATGATGATTTCAAATATACTTCGTTTTAATATATTCGGAGATTATATAGGCGCAAGGATTTGCTAGAGATTATATATAGAAATTTGCTAGAGATTTTTTGCACTGCACTTATTTACACTTATTTATTGCACTTATTATTTTTTTGTTAAAAGTTTTCAAAATATTTATTTATTAAACATCTTATAAAACCTTCACAATGGTAACACCTAATTTACCCTACTCAAAATTCTGGTAAATACCAACATTCACTGCCATACCGACGTAATATACTATTTCCCTCAATTTACCATCTATTTACTCGAACTCGCATACGGACATAATAAGTATGTTCCACGAGCTACTCGTAGTAAAACTCAAGTAAAGTACAAACTGAAAGCGTAACACAAATAAAGTACAAATAAAGTAAAACATGCCCTTTACACAGATTTTCATGAATATCTGTGTAGAATGCAAATACACAGCAAATAAACAATACAAAAACAGCTGATTCATACATCACACAAATTTGTAGCATTTTCAAATTTCGACAGAGATGTTATGCTGTCTCAGGTGCTCTCATTTACTCGAAAATTTGCTGGTGGAACGCACTTGTGCACACAGTGTTACTCAAAGTTACTACGAGTAGCTCTTGGAACAGACCTAACGTTAACGTGATATAACTTTGTTTAAACATATTAATTTCTTAGAAGCAGTTATTTTACGAAAACTTATATGGAATAAAATTTTTTTTTTTAAATATTAGAAACTAGACTTTTCGTAATGAAAATAAAGTGGTTATTAATTGATACGCTTTAACATGAAAACATTATTTTTTTTTAAATTATTTTTCAGTGTAGTTCTATGGTATAAAATTAACATCTGGTACCACCTAAAACATCAAAACAAACTCCACGTGCGTTAGCAATTGAGTGTTGTTATATTTTGTATGAGTGTATTTTTAAAAGAAAAATATTAAAAATTAAATTTAATAAAATGACAAAGTTTATGTCTTACTACAACTTGTTTATGCTTTCGGAACCGAAAGAGTTAATAGGAATTGATGCTGATAGAGATGATGGACATATTATCGTAACACTTGGAAAAAGTATGGTGATGATAATAAAGGTAAATTGTATATCAGTAAAGTACAAGTACATGAACATTCAGACATTTTAATTTACTTAACATATGTATATTTCGTATGCTTCAAATTTATATTTTTAATAAAGAAAATACTTTTTAGATTAGCACTCAAAAAAGCGTACGCAGCTGGTTAATTTCGGAAAAACTGTCTGCAAAAGTTGTCTACGATCGTCAAAGTGAAAAGTACGTCGGTGTATTTGGAAATCGTGTAATACGGTGTTGGGATGCTAACATTACTGATGTTACGAAATGTAAACGACTAAAGGTAAATGTTTCACATTTATTATTAATAACTGAGACAAATACTTATTTATGACAGTTTAAAAAAAGTATTGCAGATCTTCTAACGGTAGATAATGATACTTTCGTACTTTACAGCGATGGATCATGTGAAACGCTCTCCAAAGCTATAAATTCACGTAAAAATGATATAGAATCAGGTCCATTACAGATAGAACTCTCTGTTACCTATACATTTAGTGGTGCTTCAATTTGGAATTTAGAAGATTCGAAAATACTTACTTATTTTAAGCATAATAATGTAAATGGAAATTTGGAATTAATAAGACTTGATCTCGAGAATAATAATATAGTAACCTACAGCATAAACAGAACAGATGAAAATGTTAAAATTGCTGGTTATATTGTTTTTGATGAAGATGATGGCCCAACGTTATTAACTATATGTAACTATCATTATTTCTATTTTCTATATATTTATATTCTATAATATCTATATTTTATAGGGTCTGACAGGCGCATATTTTTACTTAATCTTCAAGGTACAGAACCGGAAAAATCCCCTGGTGATTTTGTTGCACTACTTACAGAACTACAACTTGAAAAGCCGATTTCTTTGGTAAATGTGTCAAGGAATTTTATAGCTATTTATGGAGCAAACAGTAGTAAAGATGGTGGCTTTTTACTACTATATAATACAAAATTTAAAGTTGTCAAAGGTAAACAATTTTTCAAAATTTATTTTGATGTCTCAAGGCTTTGGAAAATAAAAGAGCATCTCCTCTTGGCAATGGGCCAAAATTTGTCCGTCATTTCGTATCAGATGTCAAAAGATGTTCTCGCAGACTTAATTGGTTCACAAATTAGTAACGATTATACAAAACTAGCTGAATATGACTTTAATGAAGAAGAATCTTTCCACGAGGGTTTAACTTTGGAAGAACAATTCATCCAGAATGGAACTGGAGTTAATTTTGCTAAAAATATGAATCATTTCGACATGCCTAAAGCTGATGGCCAGAGTACTGCATATGAATCTGTTTCTAATTTTAACAATACTATTAACGAATTATCAAGACTACATTTACACATTGATGTTTTAGAAATTGATCGGAATCTCAATGAAAGAAAAATTAGCCTTATGAAAAATTATAATGATGATGGCTTTGTTAATTGGCATGTTCAAACTATAGCAAATCGATTGGAACGTAGCGGTGCAAGTGAATATGAAGTTACTGAAAAACTTCTTACTTATTTAATAAAGGCAGATCTTCTACAAGATATTGCAGTATGTTTAAGACGTTATAACAATTTATCAGAAAAAATTCTTGCGCGAACGTTATCCTATTTGCTAGAAAAATTTACTCCAGCAGAAAATCAAAGTCAAAACGAAAAAAAAACAAATGACAGTACAGAACAAATGGAAGTAGATTTACCAGAAGCATTGGATAATGGTACTACGATTGCAGACATACCAAACTTTAATATTTGTGAACAAAAATTTCAGAGAATTAATAGGAAAGTCAAAGTTGTTGACGTTTTAAATACGCTTCTTTTATGTACATTTGATACCGAAGCGATTGTTGTGCACTTACGTCATGAAATTGACTATCCGAAACTTTTAAAAGTCTTTGTCCATTTGTACAATTTATTTACTAGTAAGGAAACAGTATTTGAAAAGCATAGCAGCTATCTGCCACAATCAATTTATGTCGAAATACAAATTATACGTTGGCTCAGTGTATTTCTTAGCTCACACTATCAAAACTTGGTTCTATCAAAAGATGAAAATATGTTAAATATACTTGTCAATTGGAGTACTTTAGCTAGTAACTATATTCGCCAAGCTGAAGACTTAAATGAACTTCACTGTCTTATTAATGATTTATTGGATTGTAAGAGTTCATATACTGAAAATAATTTAAATACATGGTATTCGATAGAGGAAGTAAATTTATTTTAATAATTAAATTTTCTTAATTTAATGATTTAATGAATAACTTCTTAGTTACAAAAAAAATGTTTCTTTATTAAATATTTTCAAATTCCATAAATAATATATTAAAATGATTTGCATCAATTTAGTTTGTACATATTTATATATACATATGTAGACATATCGTTGAAATTTATTTTATTTTAAAATACAAGTTTATTTATATTTTATAATAGCTTTGTTTTATTTTATACTAAACAAATCAAATGAGCTAATTTTATTAAGTCTTGTAAAACTATATTTAAATTTCTCAGCATTATTTGTTTTAGTACAGACAATGTACAACAAAAACAAGTGGGATAAAATGCAACTGGTTTATAATTAATTAAATGACAAAAAGTTAATTTATTATGTAGTTATGAAATGTTATGAAATTATTCTTTTTGGTTAGAACATTGCAGTTTTTATTAAAAAAGTCATATAACAAAATAAAAATTTTTTTATATTTAAAGTTAATAAAAATTAATACAATGCTTTACTAGGACAAATCCATAATATCACGAGGGGATACATATAAAATCTTTCGGTTTAAGTTTATCAAAATCTTAACGAAATTTCGTATAAAGCGAACATTCCTAACCACTCGTTAAGCGCGTTTATGTGCAAAATAATGGGCTTTAGAATCTTTGTGGATGGGAAAAATATTAAATAATGATATTTAATTCACTAAAAAATTAATTATTATAATTAATATTAATAATTAATTTAATTAATTAATTATTATAATTAATATTAATAATTAATTTTTTATTAATTAATTATTATAATTAATATTAATAATTAATTTTTTATTTCTTTAAAAAAAAATTTTATAAAGCATATATACCATCCATATATAAACCTAAAGAAATTGCTTGGTAGTGCAACTTCTTCTTCTTCAAATAGAGATTCATAGTGAATTTTGTGAATCCTTGCCAAGTATAACAATTTTATATATATACAGTTAATTCAAACTACCAGTTTATGTATATTGCTGTGCTCAAATATTGCTTTAAACTAAAACTTAGTAATAATATTTTATGTTAAAAAATGAAACAGTGATAAAAACTAGTTTTTTGATACATAGCTTATATAGCAGTTATTTCTGAATCCGAACAAAGTGAATTATATTTAATAAATTATATCAAATACTCCTTTTATCAGAATCGAAGAAAACTAAGTAGCGTATATTTTGTTCGTACGGAAATTTTGTGATTATTAAATAATTAAATAATACTTTATTGTAACTCAACTTCATAAGCTGCGAAAACGCTTCTGATGCCATTACGAGATGCGGGATTTGAAGTAACTGTAAGAATATAAGTTAAAAGTTTTACAAAATGAAAGACTCTGTGAACCATTTCTTACTTTGAAGCTTTAAAAGCTTTAAATCTCAATTAGACAATTTACTGTAGACTTAACGCACGCAGTATATAGTATTGGACTATACATTTACAAGGAAAAATAAAACGTAAACGATCAAAACTATAGAAGGTGTATCTCAACGCTTTTATAAAGGTTTGATTTCATTTATATCCAGACTAAATATATGGACAGTGTCACCGGCAATAAAAATTTGTATATATAACATATGCCTAATCCATTATCTTATATGAATCAGAAACTTGGCACGTAAATAGAAAAATAAAACAGGAAAATCTTTTACATACTGAGAATATGCTATTAAAGAATGAAGATTTAATCCGCATATATTTATATGCATATTTAATATAAGCTAAAATATTTATATGCATTTTTTTTTTTATAAAATAATTTTAAATAAGTAATTACAGAAATACAACATTTTTTGTATAAAACACTGTAGTGTTACTGTCTTCTGTTTTTAAAAAATAATTTCCAAATAAATTAACCCTAATTAATTCTAAAACTATTAGGGAATTAAAAATACGATTTCTTTGCATTACGAACTTTGAACGGTACTGATTCTTCTTAGTTTGTCTTATGATCCATAAATTCTAGTTTCTTGTTAACGTAATCAATGTAAAAAGCTTATTTTTATCGACATATAGCGTAATAAAAAAAGTTGCTCACAATAACAAACTCTATTAAAATCCGTTGTCAAATCCTCATCTGTAAGAAATTGGAATCGCACCGAAACCTATTATGTACTGCTCAAATTTCAAAGGAGTGTGATTGTAAATTTTGAATTAAAGAAATTGGTAACATTTAGCACAATTAGTCTTTTTTCTATGTACGCCTACACACTGCAAATCTTGACATTCTATATCACTTCAATTGTTACACCCATTTTTCTTTAAAATATTACAAAACGGGTATTGGCAAATCTTCCTTCCCTCGCTTGAATTCTTCTAAGCGGAGATAAATACCTAAAGAACTTTTAAATTACCTTTATATACGAATTTTAATTATTTGCCTCTATTCGTTAAATATGAAAAAAATAGCGTACCTTACTAAAAGCGACACAATTATATAGCACTGATAGCCTGATGACTTCCTTTTATACTCATATAAACATAATATTTTTCCGAATAAGATTTTTAGTTTTGAAAATAAATTTAATTTGATTCAAAGTTTGAACACAAATTGCTTTCATAATTTTGATGAGGTGTCTCCAATTTAAGTTTTTAACAAAAATCATGTCTAGTTATTTTATTGTATTACTCCATTCAATTTGGGCATTATTAACTGCAAACAGTCTTAGATTCTAATAACGCTTACCAGTGATAAAAATTGCTTTGCTTTGTCGCCAAAAGTTTGAGTTTGAGCTTTTATTTCTAAAAGTAATTAAACATATCATCAATATGTACCTGGAAAGATATAGAACTTTTTGTTGCATCTACATCAGTGTACAGAGAACATAAATTGGACAAAAGCGGATAACCTTGAGGGACTCTAGCTTCGATTGTACTGGTAAAGAAAAGATAATTCTCATCTCGAAGTTTTCGCTTTATCAAAAAGCTTCCAAATTTTGCACATTTTATTAACCAGTCCGGCATTCCAGATTTACAAAATAATTTCTCGATATCAAACATTATGAGATCTGTTGACTTAACGTTAACGTAAAGCTGATAAAGAATGATTTTCCTTGAAACCTTTTCCTTTGATATGAGTATAAATAAATATGTATAAATTGCTATACCCTAATAGAAGTGTATATAGTTCCATTAAAAAAATTTTAAAAATATATATATATATATATTTTATTAGATTAATAGAACAAAACTCTCTATATAGTTAAATAAAACAGATGAGAACAGGAGTTTTGACTCCCAGTGAAGCAAAGGACAGTGGCCATTATAGAAAACACTCGACCTTCGTATGAAGGTCAGAATATGTGTTCTTAAAGATTTCCTACTATTAGACACTGGATACAGTGAAAAAAATAAAATAATAACTCCATAAGGCTTTTAAATTACAGTAGGTCACTGGAAATTTTTTTCATAACTAACAATGCATAAATTGCAAAATCTTTATAAAATTATTACTTTAAAAAAGTTTTTCTATAATTTTAATAGTTTTGAATCTATGAAATTATTCACATAATCGAATTTATGGCTATATTGGGCTATAAACTAAACTTAAAATTAATAGTTTTAGCTTTTGCATTCAACGGCAAAATTGTATTCTTAATTTATGATTATGTATGCTACCCCGCCTAAAAGCGAAGATCAATGGTATAATCTACTCACACAAAAGCATATAAAAAAAAATATTTTTTACTTATATTGAATTTTCGAACAAAATGCAGTTTGAATAAGTCATTCTTATGCACCATGTTGTAACCAGCATCATCATCTTCGTCTTCGTCATCGTCATCGTCATTGCTTCAGTATAACCATTTTCGTGATGGTTATACACATTACAATCATAATGATCATTATTAAAGGTTTAAATTGTTTCGTCTTCGATCGTGTTCAACGTAAGTCAAAAGGATTTACCACGACTAAAAGACCGCAGGTTGCCTGGTACTTGCCGCCTACCTGTTGTCAGGGAGCAGGTAAACTCGAACTCACTAACACCATTAAGCAGAGTAACATCGGCTACAGCAGCATCAAGCAGCAGCATAGAAACTACAAGAAAACATAAACGAAGAATTTTGTAGAATATTCGTTCCTCTTGAGTTGTCTTTACTTTTAAATCATTTGACTTTTTTGTAAATGTTTTAATTTTTTTTCGTTGTTGTTGTAGTTTATATACCAAACATATATATTTATATATATAGAATTTGCATCCTTTGTAAAGCTGTACGTAGCATCGCCTTCAAAACGATTCTTTTAGATCTGTTATTCTCTTTTTTAAACCTTAAAACCGGCCGGTATTATTTTTAGATACAAGAAACTCGTTGCCATGCTGGAATAACTGGCTTAAAAATGCAATGATCTTGTTCCACGTGAAATTCGGTCTTTTCTTCTGTTTTGCCAATGAAACTTTTGGCTTGTCGTGGACTAAAGTATTTGTTGCCTGCGTTAAGTAAAATCAATTGATCGTAACTGCCACAGTATCTTCACATAGTCAAGAAGGGGGTACAGTTTCGTTGTTACAGAAAAGGTTATACAATATACATAGAAGCAGGCATACAATATAATTAATAAATAAATTTAAAATACATACCTGTTAGGTCATATTTTGACATATTAAATAATAAAACATATATTAAAATATAAAACATTTTTAACTGATTTTAACCATATATGTTACCATATATGTTATATGTTATAATTTATTTTTTCGTTTATCGTTTAGTTTTAACTAAATTTATGAGTCCTTGAATTCAGTCTCAGTATTACTATCTTGCATATTCAATATAATCAGCATAACCGCAATTTTGAATTAACTTTTAAAATATATTACCCCTTTAGTAAATAAACTCAATAATGAAGTATTGTATTGCATTAAATACTAAGCTTAAATAACGTATTTCTTCCTTCACTTAATTAAACTGTTGATTGTTTAAATTTTTTTTGCGAGATACTACGTGATGTACGTTTTGAATTTATTTTAAATAA